ATGTGACAAGCTGTGACCAATCACAGCTCACACAGTATTTCTCAATGGCTGCAAGAATGCAGCCAGAGAGAAACAGAAATGATTGCTTTTACAGCCTTTATGGGTGTAAAAGCAATCAGTGTAAAGGAAAAAAAAAAATCACCATGGTGACACTGTACAGCTAGGGTGACAGTATGTAAAAATAAAATAAAAAAAAAATTTTTTATAGTAATATAAAAAATTAAAATAAAAATGTAAAAAACATTTTAAAAAAATATATAATTTTTGGTTATAAACTAAAAAGATAACTGAATAAATTTTGGCCAAGATTTATGATGAAATATTGTTTGCAACATTTTATAAGAAAAAACACTTTTTTTTCAAAATGTTTGGACATTTTCATTTATATAGCCAAAAAAAAATAAAAATCCCAGTGGTGAATAAATACCACCAAAATAAAGCTTTATATGTCTCAAAAAAATGCTAAAAAATTCATATGGGTACAGTGTTGCATGACCACGCAATTTTCATTCAAAGTGTGATAGCACTGAGAGCTGAAAATTGGCCTGGACAGGAAGGTGTTAATAAGGTAACTATGAAAAAAACAAAAACTAAAAATAAAGGAAAACTCTCTAGGCAAATGATTACAATGGTCAAAGATGTGACTTTGGTCTTTGGCACTGCTACATCTCCCATGTAGCTCATTTGCGTTGCAGTGTGAGACTCCTTTTCCTAAGGCTACAATTATTTGTAGTCTCAGTTCTGCCCCCAATCTGAAAGCTGCCTAAATCTTACCTCCCCTTTATTAAAACAGTCCATACATGATTAAATTCCCTTTCCTTTCACCATGGGTGAAAGAAAAGAAAATTGCTTGATTCCTCTGTCACAAATCAGTGTTTATGGGGGAATGCCTACCACAGCGCTATTGTGTTCTGCCAGTGGCTACAGGCATCGCATCTAGTTAAATCCGACAGGCTGGTTGTACCCAATCGATCAAATTGCCTGTCCAAACATGGATCAAATTTTGGCCAGTCCCTGTTGAACTGGCCAAATGTCAATCCATATATGGCGACTTTAGTGTACGACACAGTCGCCTCAACTCTTGATGTATGACTGAGCTTTGCCTGAGCTCTGACGATCCTAGACACATCCCAGTGAGAGAAGAATGACACAGTTTCCAGCACTGGCATAAAATAGATTTATAGGGATTACGGAATATTTTAGGAAACAGTGTTTCCAACAATTTTAGATTATTTCACAATAAGGACCCCAAGCTGCCTGTTTTATTTTATTTTTTTTATGGCTGTGATAGGGTCATTAAATATTGGAGAGGGTCTGACTTGAAAAAAAAAAAAGATTTCCAAAAATGAGACATGCTGGTTATACGATTTGGAAACTCTTAGCCCACACGGTATGAAAATAGAATGTGACCTCAGTTGTTTTATTACTGAATAATCCCTATAGGTCTATTTATTTACTCATTTATCAATTTTAAAACAATCCTAAATCACATCTATTTTAAAACACAGTTTATGTAAAAAATGGGTGCCCTCCTTTCTAAGGAATGTCTCTATTAGTATAATCCTTTAAGATCATATTGATTGTAATATTTTTATTATAATATCAGTTAGTGTAAGTTTTTTAAATATTTGTATGATTTAATATGCATAGCATGGTATATACTTTTAGATGGCGCTGTGCTAAATCGCATCCATATAATGGTTGAACATCATTTTAAGCTTAATTAATGTGGTATTATTTATTGGTTGGTTTAGCATTGCAAGTCAGTATGTGACTTATTAAAATTGGGCTAGAAATTTATGTAAGGCCTGACCGGCATTACAAGGTTTTCATTGGCATTAGGTGGACTATTTGGCATTGTACAGTGGGGATCGAAAGTTTGGGCACCCCAGCTAAAAATTACTATTAATGTGCATAAAGAAGCCAAGGAAAGATGGAAAAATCTCCAAAAGGCATCAAATTACAGATTAGACATTCTTATAATATGTCAACAAAAGTTAGATTTTATTTCCATCATTTACACTTTCAAAATAACAGAAAAAAAAAAATGGCGTCTGCAAAAGTTTGGGCACCCTGCAGAGTTAATATCTTGTACTGCCCCCTTTGGCAAGTATCACAGCTTGTAAACGCTTTTTGTAGCCAGCCAAGAGTCTTTCAATTCTTGTTTGAGGTATCTTTGCCCATTCTTCCTTACAAAAGTCTTCCAGTTCTTTGAGATTTCTGGGCTGTCTGTCACACACTGCTCTTCTAAGGTCTATCCATAGATTTTCAATTATGTTGAGGTCAGGAGATTGTAAAGGCCATGCAAAACCTTCAGTTTACGCCTCTTGATGTAATCCCCCATGGATGTCGAGGTGTGTTTAGGATCATTATCCATTTGTAGAAGCCATCCTCTTTTTAACTTCAGCTTTTTCACAGATGGCATCAAATTACCATCCAAAATTTGCTGAAATTTTATTGAATCCATTTTTCCTTCTACTCGTCAGATGTTCCCTGTGCCACTGGCTGCAACACAACCCCAAAGCATGATTGATCCAACCCCATGCTTAACAGTTGGACAGAGGTTCTTTTCATTCAAATTCTGTGCCCCTTCTTCTCCAAACATACCTTTGCTCATTCCGGCCAAAAAATTCAATTTTAACCTCATCGGTCCACAGAACTTGTTTCCAAAATGCATCAGGCTTGTCTAGATGGTCATTTGCAAAGTTCAAACGATGATTTTTGTGATGAGGACGTAGAAGAAGTTTTCTTCTGATGACTCTTCCATGAAGACCATATTTGTACAAGTATCTCTTTATAGTGGGAATAGTGTACCACAACTCCAGTGTCTGCCAGATCTTTCTGGAGGGATCGTGCAGTCAAACGTGGGTTTTGAATTGTTTTTCTCACAATCCTGCGAGCTGTTCTGTCTGATATTTTTCTTGGTCTTCCAGATCTTGCTTTAACTTCCACTGTTCCTGATGACTGCCATTTCTGAATTACATTCCGAACACAGGATATTGACATCTGAAAATGCTTTGCTGGCTACACCAAGCGTTTACTTGCCAAAGGGGGCAGTACAAGATATTAACTCTGCAGGGTGCCGAAACTTTTGCAGACGCCATTTTTTGTTTTCTTTTTTTGAAAGTGTAAATGATGGAAATAAAATCTAACTTTTGTTGACATATTATAAGAATAAGAATGTCTAATCTGTAATTTGATGCCTTTTGGAGATTTTTCCATCTTTCCTTGGCATCTTTATGCACATTAATACAAATTTTTAGCTGGGGTGCCCAAACTTTCGATCCCCACTGTATATAAACAAAAAAGATTGCAGCTGGACTGCTTCCTGATGACGTCTAGCGGCAAAGAGCGTAGAAGTGGGACTTTTCAATTCAATGACATCACTTTTCACTGACTGGAATGCACATTGGCTCCAGGATATTGAGGAGCAGCAGTGTCTTCCTGAAATCTGATTAGCTGGTTATTCTGGCTGCTGGGATGGACAATGCTTATGTGATAGTGGTAAAGAAAGAGGCACACTGGTTTTGTTCAGCACTTTTTGAACTTGTAAGGCACTTTATTTGGCACATGGTCACTTTTAATGTAAAACACAAGTGATCAATAACTGTTGCGCAGTTTACATTTGTTGATATTAGTATATATATGGTTGGTATTAAGGTATGCATATCAATTTAATTCACAGAGCACACTGGCATATATAATCACCTTTTGCTATTTGAGTATATTGTCAATAAGAGGATGTGCTTAGGATTATTTATTTATTTCAGCGCCATCAATTTACGCAGCGGTTTACATATATATTGTACATTCACATCAGTCCCTAACCCTCAAGGGGCGTACAATCTAAGGTCCCTAACTCACATTCATGCATACACATAATAGGATCAATTTAGACAGGAGCCAATGAACCTAGCAGCATGTCTTTGGAGTGTGGGAGGAAACCAGAGTACCCGGAGGAAACCCACGCAGGCACAGGGAGAACAATCAAACTCCAGGCAGGTGATGCCGTGGTTGGGATTCGAACCAACGACCCCAGTACTGCCAGGCGGAAGTGCTAACCATTTAGCCACTGTGCTGCCCCTTAGTTACACTTAAGTCACTACAGTGAAATAGAGGGTGCACAAAGAGTGGCAGCTGGGCATTTTAGGTTTCACATATCTGTTAACAGAAGTATTATCCACATAGTAGGGGTGTTATCGGAGTATTCACTGACACAATACAATAGCTACAGCAGAAGATTCGTCCATCCAACCTGCAGGCATCGATATTTGCATAGCCAGCTTAAGATAGATGCTGCCCCCCCGGTCACCCAGATTTGTCATTTTAGCTGGTCTGCATGGGGTGATGAGACAAGTTCACAAAAAGGATTACATGTAAGTGAACTTAGTGAATGTTAAAAATGAACTAGAAAAACAGGGTCACCTCGAATGCAAACTTTATGGAGCTACTTACATTGATTTGGAGCTCTTATCTTAAAAAGGATAAGTTAAATTAACCTTTTGCTAAAAAATAATAAATGCACATTTATTTGTCAGTAAACAATTGCACCAGCGATCAGCAGATCACTGGTGCCATGCAGGATGTACAGGCATGCAGATATAAAGACAGGAAGAATCAATGAACTACCACAGAGCTCCACAGCACCGTGGTAGTTCACTGAGAACTACAAGCCGACAGCCGCTAAGGCTGTTGGGACTTGTAGTTTCTCATTCACAGAGGATTGTAAATAAATGATGCAGCTGGGCAGGCAGAGTCTCACATTGCCACTTTTTTAAAATTTTCACAGCTAGCGGTAGGAGAAAATCCCCCGCTAACTGTTAAACCAGGGGAGCAGGGGACCGGTCTATTTATAACATGTTACACCCAGAATATGGGTGTAACATGTAATATGTTATGAAAGGTGAACTTACCCTTTAAATGAAGGACACATTTTGTTATCCATAATCTCCTCATTAGCCCAAGCAGAACACAAGTGAGTGTGTGGCTATAGCTCTTACCAGACATTCTGAGTGAAACTTCTTCTTGCAAGTCCGGCAGGCTTTCTTTGGGAGAGAGTAATTCGAAACCATGAATCACCGAGAAGCAGATCATGCAATCTTCAACACCTTCAAACCTCTTGTCCACATTGTTCTTCCAGAGAGCGAGGCCCTCCATTATACTTCCGTTCTGGGAAGATTAGTGTAAAAAGCAGAAAATCTTGTAAATAGATACAATTCTGTTCTATAAACTGGACTATGCTAAAATAAAACAACATGTTAAACATAATTAAAGTTCATTTTGCACATAACTATGGCTTAAAACCAAACTCCAGGCACACAGCTTAATACATACAAGGGAGCCCTTTTACATGCCAAACACTTATATTTCTGTTCATCCTGTTCCAAGAATTGCACAGCTATGTTACATAGCACAGCCCTGCCTGGCAGGGCAGGAGATACGATTTTTCTCTTTTGCAATTATCCAACACTTACAGGCCTGATCAATTCCCCACTGGACAATGAAAAGAGAAGCAGCACACTGAGCTCATCTCGCTGTCACTCTGCTATCTTCTCTTATCAGCATGTCCCTTGTTAGCTCAAGAGCAATGCAACAAAACCAACTGTCTCTTTGTGCTGCTTTCCCCTTTCCCCACTGAGGTTCAGCTGTACAGAGGATTGCAATATGCTGATACCAATCAAAAACCAGATTTACTCTGCTCGTATTTAAAGAGACCCTGATGCTATACAAGTTTCCCACGTAAAGCATACCTATAAAATAAAAGTGTAAAGACCTTTGTAGCCACCTGTGCCTCCAAACACTAATCCAAGAAACTGTCCCACAATTTCTGCTGGAAAAGTGGCATTTCTGGGGGTGTTGATCTCCCAGCATCCCTGCATCTCTCACCGATTCTTCCTTCTTACCTTTAGGCCACTACGGAGTCCTGCAGTGACATTAAGTCAGCAAGAGGAACCAGTAAATGTAATTGGTGACCCGGGAGACTGACACTTCTGGAAATCCTTGCTTCCTTACAGACATTGTGTGGGAGGACGGAAATGTACTTAAAGATTTCATTTACAGATATTCTTCACCTGGGAAAACTGATGTATAGTGACTGGGTCACTCTAAAAACAAATTTCATATTGTTTCAATGGATACTGAGTTGCATTCATTTGCACCTTTTTTTCTGCATAGAGTTCGGCCCTAGAGTAGAACTATAGGCAAAAACTTTTTTTCTTTTTTTCATTTTGGATAGCGTAAGAGGGTTCTAATCCCTGTTTTTTGCCATCCATGTCACATTGGGGAGATTTATCTTCACTTCCTGTCCAATAGCCAAAACAGGAAGTGAGAAGAAATCCATGCAAAATAAGGGAATCCATTGGGGCCCCCCAGGACACCAGAAGATTTCACCTCTATTATGGTTCTAGGGACAATGTAAAATTTGGAATTTGTGTCTGCTTTCAACTTGCTGAAAATGGTAAACAGGACACAGAGAGGGTGAATCTCACTAACTAGCGAGAGGTAGCAATAATGTTCTAATTCATCTATGTACAAAACTTAAAAAAAAAAAATGTTTTGTATTCACTGTAAAATCCTTTTCTCCAAGTTCAGTGAAGGACATAGCCATTCTTCATAATGGATGGGTTTAATGTCGTCGCCTACAGGAGCAGGGTGCTAGGTGCAACTAAATTAAAGCACACCCAGGGGGCGGTCCTCTGAGGGTGGCCGATCCCCCCTATCTGAAACCCAGGATTCAGTTAGTAGTCAACAGCAGAAGGACGTCAACACCAAACAAGACTGGGTGGGTGCGGTGTCATTCGGTGATTGAAGGACACAGCTGAATTTCTCCCAGATGAAACGTCCCAAGGCAGTGCCAGAAAGACAGAAGGGATGGGTCCACAACCAAGCTCCTCTCACGTTCGTCAAGTTGCCCCGCCTACACACATCCTGACAGCCAATCACTGGCTATCAGGATGTGAGTGGCAGCGAGACTGGCCAATCATTGCTGCCCTGGCTGTTTTTTTTTTGGATCACGCTGCAGAGTCCCTGCCGCCCGAGAGGAGGGAGGGGAGCGGGCGCCCGGCACACAAGAGCCGCATTAAAGCGTGTAAAGAGCCGCATGTGGCTCGCGAGCCGCGGCTTGCCGACCACTGACCTAGTCCAAAACCTGTGTATGTGACAATGCTGCCACAAAAAAGGAAAGGAAAAAGGAGGGTAGGGAGGGAATCAGGAAGGAATAAAGGAATCTATAGGTGTAGAAGGCAGGACTGGAAAGGAAGAAAATGGAGAAAGTAGAGATGCAAGTTAGGAAACTAGTATGTGTATGTATGAATGTGAGTTAGGGACTTTAGACTGTACACCCCTTGAGGGTTAGGAACTGATGTGAATGTATAATATATATATGTAAAGAGTTGCGTAAATTGACGGCGCTATATAAGTACCTGAAATAAATAAATAATAAATAAAGAAATTAGGGCAATAAAGTAGAAAATAAATAAATAAATCACATCAAAAGGAGCAAATAAATGCAGAAAAGGATGGCAGAAAAGGACAACAATAGATAATATAGTGATGGCATAAAACAGTCAGAAACTAAATAATTCTCTTAGCAAGATTGCATGTTTAGACCACATCTTGAAACTGATATAGTCAACACATTTAATTTATTTTGCAATTTGTAAAATCTAAGACTAGGTGCACAAACATTTTTACCTACCTGGTGTGTAAGGTAAGTGTTCAATTGCAGCATCCAATTCCGCCACTGCTGTACTGCCACGCCTACCCGCGGCCGCTTTCTACAGTGATGGAGCCCAGGGGATAGTTTGGGGGCAGCTGGATAATGAGCTCTATGCAGATGTCATCAACAGAATAAGTGGCTATAACCTCCCGGGTGGTACGACTGGCTTTCACCTTAACAAGTATAAAGTCCAGGGTTACATTAAAATAAATTATAAAATTAAAATAAATAAAAAAGGTGCATTTTTAGCTGTTGCTTATAAAGCCCTTCATGCCTGACAATGCCTGAGCATGCCTCTTGCCAGCCTTGTAGACATAACACAATCACATAGGGAAGCTGCATAAGACATTAAAAAGGAAAAGTATGGCCAAAGCTATTTTGGATATACTTTGAAGGATAAAAAGGAGTGCAGTTTGTTCTGCACTCCTGTGACGCATTTGATGCTGACCTCACTCAGCTGGTCCAGGCTCTGGATCAATCCTGACTTTACAGTCAACATCCACTCAGATGCCTAGAGCAGCAGCAGCTGGCTCAGACTCTCAGTGAGCCGCTGAGAGCCTCAGCCAGCCTCTCTCACCCCCTCCACAGCCTGGGGCTCCAGTGAGTGCTGGAAGGGCAGCCAAAAAGACGGTAACTGACAGTCACCAGCTCTCTGCGTACTGAAGACTGAGAACTGAGCGATCAGCAGCCTTTGATTGCTCAGTTCTCAGTCCTAGAATCAGAAAGGGACAGATGCAACATTGGATCAATGCTGTATCCACTTAGAAATATAACTGTATATTTAAATCCCCATACTTCTCTTTTAACATATAGAAAGGGAAGTCACAAAGATCATATTAAACGCCACTTGTTTATTCCAGGTTTGTTAGTCCTGCAATAGAAAGCCGTTTTAAATGGCTTTTCTACACAGAACCACTATCTGGTTTCTGCCAGGACACTTCTATTCTCACCAGTCACTCCTAAAATTTGAATGATTTGTTAGACAAAATCTTATACTACTGTGTACTGGGCATCCAACTTCTTTGTGCATATTACAAACTCATTTGAATCAGTGAACCCTACATGAGGATTCTTACCATAAATAATCTCTTCATTCCAATTGCGTATTTAAAATGAATGATAATATAAGAGGCAATCGTGTTCCGCTGGCTTTGACATCAAACTTATCCACACTGGTACACAAGCTTAGTAAAAAGCAAGCAAACAATGTACTTAAAATGCAATTATAAAACACTTTAGCAACTCTCCCTAAGGTGGACCTTTACCCGCCTTGGTCTCCTTCCACCATCTCATCTTCTCCTCTCTCAAAATCACAAATATTTTTCATAAGTCTAATTTTCCCCAACACTAAAAGAATTCTCGCCTAGATGAGACTGACATTTCTATTGCCTGCAGCCTCCTGGAATACCTGTCATGTATTCCTGGATGCCACAGGTTATTCTACTGAGCAAGTGCTGCTCTATCAGGAAAGGAGGGGGGGTGTAAGCTTTCTCTTTCCGGTCTTGCAGTTGGCCCCCTAATGATGAACTACATAATATGCCATTCGTCATGGTGCTGGCTGCAAGAACCCAGAAGAGACAGCTTGCCTCCTGATGAGGTCTCAAAAGAAGATGGCATGATTGCCCTCTACAGAACACAGCTGGAATGCTGGGCATGCAAGTAAGTGTTTGTGAATTACTTGGTAAAAAACGTGGGCGGGGAATGAAGTTCCTCTTTAAATATATTAAGGCAAGTCAAGCAAGTTTGCAAATAAAACCTCTCACACATTTTCTTTCCAATACTATTCTTTAAAGCATACTTAAAACCAAGAAGAAAAATTTAACTTATTGCAGCTTACCAATTCTTATACGTGTTGCTTCATTAGTTTTTATTTTTCAGGATAAATGCAGAATATGTACAGTACAGAATACCAGTTGATCTTGCCAGAAATACAGTGTTCTTGGTACTTTCTGTGCAATCAACTGGAAGCACAATGAGTGTTAACTTTAACTTTCTTTCATAAACTACTGATCTCCCCATCCTCCAGGTAATGGAGACAGACATGCTTGAAGACCAGCCTGGATGGAAACCATGGCTCCCTCCAAAGATACAGTGGAGGACTAAACATACAAACCCAGGGACAGAAGTGTACTATTTGCAGGATTACCAGGTATAAAAAAAAAAAAAAATCAATGCAGCTACCCCAGTTAATGACAAGTGAGCTCCAATAAATTAATTTTTTTTGGATTTTAGTTGTTATGGGGGTAATCAAGGGTCCAGCCAGCTAAAATTTTCATCTATGTGAAGATAATATCATCTACTTCATTCAGAGTTGAATGGAAGATGGCATCTGCAGCATTCCCTGGGCTAGTGCAAGGAGAGATGCTGGAGAGGTCTCCCCCCCCACCCCCCCCCCCCATATAACAACAAGTATCTGTCTCTGCTGTTCCACCCTCCACACATTCCCTTCTGTACATGAGACAGTATAAAAAAGAAACAGCGTGAGCTCACTGCACTGACTCCACTGGGTAGAAGTAAAAACACAACGGTTTATTTGCATTAAGGCGTATCACAAAAGTTTTCTTTGAAGAAAGAACCTGACTTACGGTCATGCCATCAAAGACTTGAGTACTGAATTGTACAGAGGATATTTCCTGGGAAGACAGCACTCCACTGACATACTTGGTAGTGAATTTGTCCACAACGCTAAAAATCCTTTTCTCGCAACCATTCCACCATAGTCGGACCATGGCAGGCAAATCCTTCAGTGTGATGTGATAAACACTACAGGCCAGATGAGGGATCTCCCATTGCAGTGTGGATGAATCTAGGAAATAGTAACACATTAAGCAGCTTTCAAAGCCTTTACTGTCTAGCCAGTAATGTTTGCTTTTAAATTCATGAGTAACTCAACCAAAATTCAGCACTGTGCACCTCTGAGTTGCCTGGCCAATGAATACAGAGACACGCAGATATAGGAAGCCACTAATAACAAATAAACGCAATAAAGCTGAACTCCAGGGAAAGGAAAAAGTCTTCCTTATAGTGGGGCTGCTCACCACGCACTGCAATTGTTAAAAGGATAAGTTCACCTTTTGACCAAAAATAATAAATGCACATTTTTTTTGCAGGTAAGAAAAAATGTGCATTTAATATTTTTGGTTGCAGGAGCCTGTAAAGCATTACCATGAAGGTCTCCTGAAGACCTGTCTGTATATCTACTTGCCCTTACAGGATAGTTCATTGAAAACTACAAGCAGACAGCCACTAAGGCTGTCGAGACTTGTAGTTCGTTCATTCACAATGAATGACGTGGCTGTGTGGGTGGAGCCCAGCACGGCAGCGCTGTTTTTTAAATAGTGACAGCTTGTATGGAAAGCTTCTCCCCGTACTTCTGACACAGGGAGGGGGGGCAGTGGCTTCAGCATTGGGCACATGTTACATGTTCCACCCTAAAAATTGGTGGAACATGTAACATGCACTCAAAGGTGAACTTACCCTTTAAAGTGATTGTAAACCCATAACTTGAGAAATAATCCATTCATTTTAAAATAAAATTAAAGGCAAAACATATGTGAATACATATAAAAAATACATTATAAATACCCCCCCCCCTTTTTTTTTTTTTTTAGAAGGGATCACATTCCCTCTGTTCTCAACTCTGTAAGAGGTAGGGGAGGGGAAACAACAGTACACTCATCTTCCCAGTGAAAGGCTGCGAAGGGGGGTGCCAGTCTGATCATTGGAGGAGAACAGGCTGAATTCCCAGTATAGGTGGAGAACTGGCCAGGCTGTGCTCTCCTGCCTAGTATAGTGAGCTTTTAATAGGAAACTGGCAGGAACACCAAGGATTTCACACAAAGGAAGCAGTACAAAGACACCAGGATACTTTTTCATACAAGTACATGGCACAACAAACCCATATCAGGAATATGGAATGTTGGGTTTACATATTCTTTAAATGCTCATTTAGGTCTAGGGGGCGTAAAAATGCAGTTCTCTATTCCCAATGTCCCGTGCCTGCAAGCTTCTTCCAGGTATAAGCCCTTCAGGCTTTTCTACTCCTATGCTCCGGGTGTTGCAAGTCCTCTGTCAGCAAGTCCAATGCTGAGCCCATAGCCCTGTACAGGGTGTGAGGATGTCGAGACAATCCACCACCAGACAGTAGGTAACTAGAGTAGAGCACCAGTGCCTGGGGGAATGGAGGATTAGTTAAGTAGAACTAAAAGCTTTTTGTGCCCCCCCCTACACCTAAACAAGCTTTTTACCCTTGCAGTGCAGGGGCAGACCCAATGCAAGTGAGCATTGTTTGGAAATGGACTTGTAAACATAGAATGGCAAATGTCGGCATGATTTTGGTGCATTGGTATCTATGTGTTTGTCGAAGATGCAATGACTAGTGAATGCCACACAAAAAAGACTGACAACGCTGTGCAATGAAATAACACCTGATTTGACAAAGCTCTCTTTTGCACAGGAACATAGGGAGCTAAATGTTAAAAAAAAAAAAAAAAAAAAAAAAAATTTTGGGGTACTTCCAGCAGTATTCAAAAACATATTTTGCCTTTGTTTTATCAAAATACATTCCTGTTCTATCAGGTAGCTTTGTACCTGCGACCCAAAATAAATGCTTCGTGTCCCCTGCTCATGCTTACCAGGTCCAATGAATTGGATGTTGCTGACTAGTGAGTGCACAGGCTGGGGAAAGGTGCTTCCAGACCCAAAACACACTGTAGAAACAGGAAGAAATATCATGGCCACCCCATACATCACTAGGCCGGACTGGTTAGCAGGTAAAAGCAGCTTCAGCTCAATTCATCCAAGCCATGCTCCCAATATGTTTCGAACCACCCCTGGGGTCTGTCACCCACTCTTTGTTCCACTAACATGTTCATCCCACACAAAACTTAGAACAGTGTTTCCTAAACTATGATTCAGAACCCATATTGGGTCGCAGATGTGTTTTGTGATGGTTTGACGGATGACTGCAATAAATGTAGCCTAAATGTCAAAAAGAAACTATAAACAAAAAATAGTACCTGCAATGTGTTGTACACCTATTGTTATGTGTCTTTGTGTGGCCTTGCTGACATTTTGTTAATTCTCTTTATCTCTACGATAACCATTTTGTTATTTGGGTCGAGATGGATGTGGGAATCCTCCCTGCTAGGTCGTATTCTGATAGCAGGGCTCCCCTGCCACCACAATACACTGATCAGCGCTGCAGCGGCAAGAAGCTGATTTAAGTTGATCAATTGACTTCATGATTGGGAACGGCCATAGATGGATCAAAATTCAGCTGGTTCTGGCTGAACTGCGATCCATGTATTGTCCAGTTTTAGACTACAAGGTAAGGGTCCTCCCGTCCCCTACAAATAACAATATTTTTGTTACTCACTGCAAAATCTATTAATGCAGAACTCCATTAATTTTTTTTTTCCCATACAGTGGGGCTGTATCCGAACTGCATGATTTAACTGCTGGTTTTGTCCAAGGGCACACAAAAAAACCTATACTTACCTGATCCTTTGATCCTCCAGAAAACAGCACTCCCCTACACCCAGCAGTGGGCTGTTCCTGCCATCCTCACATCCAGAGCCAGTCTGTGAGCGTGACAACATCATGAACAGTCCTTTCACAAGATGTGTGGGGGGGGGGGGGGGGGGGGGGGGGTGACATAGGAGCAGCAGGGACTGGTCTTGCATTCGGAGGACTGGTGGATTAGGTATATCTTTGCTCTCCTCGCCCCTAGACAATAAGCAGTTAATCCCTGCAGTGTGGGGCACAGCCCCACTTCATGGGAAAAACATATTCCTAGAATTCTTCTTTAAAAAGAGCTGTGTCCATCACTGAAAACATGCGACGATGCATTTTAACCTATAAGGCTCACTTAAAACCCAACTTCAGGGAGATTCACTGTCACTTTATCTCTGACACCAGGAAGACAAATGAGGGAAACCTAAGTCACTAGCAAAGGGAAGTAGAAATAGCAATAAAGAGGGTTTTTTAATTTTCTTTGTGAAGATAAATTTGGTAAAAGGTCCAGTGAAGAGACACTGTCAACTCTTTCCTTAGCCACATGCGTTCACTAAATGTAAAGGCATTTTTACCCAAAAAAAAAAAAAAAAAAACACTTTCAAGTAAGTTTCCAATTTTGTGTTGTGCCGTATTCACAGCCATCTCGGGCCACAGGGTTGAACACCAGTGATCTAGAGTTAACAAGCATTTAACCCTTACCGTGCAGGCCCTACTGCAACATTACTGGTTTGGTAAATCTTGAGCTGGATTTTAATGAGATATTAATGACATCGCTGTATTCATTTCTGGCAAGAGGATTACCTCTTCTGGGAGTTAGGCTTTCATGATAAATTTGGTAAACAGGCATAAACCTCAAGATTCAGCGTTCATGTGATACAAACAAGATCCCGTCATGGGAATTGCCCATCACAGTAAATCCTCCCTACCAAATCTACCTCTTATCTGCTAACTTGACAGCACTTCATTTCATTTACTTCTCACTTGCTAACTTCTCACATTTGTTGAATTGTCCGGACATGTGCTGTCAGGATTCCAGCTCTAACATTAGGACATTTTCCCGTTTAAAAATGCAAACAAGAATCTGATGATTACTGCTTGGCTGATAATTGCCTTGTTATCAATGTTTTAATGTTGGCTCAGCAATGACATGTATTTGGATAGAAAGTGAAGAGCAATATCACTGTGTTCAATTCTAAATAAACACAATCAGTAACGTTTGACGATTTATATAAATATCTGTCCATGGTTTACACTATAATGATATTATCGCTCTAACGTAATGGTGACATTTGTGGAGAGGATTATGGAACATTACACGCCATTCTTCTAATACAGCTTTCAGTACCCAAGACATTTTTGAAGACTATTTTTCTGGACCTATGCCCTTAAAGTGGTTCTAAAGGCTATTTTTTTACCTTAATGCATTCTCTGCATTAAGGTAAACAACTTTTTGATGCAACTTCCCCCAATCACCCCCCGTATAGTTACTGATCTCAAACCAGCATTGTGCCTGAGAGTGGTGGCTCTCTAAGCTCTCTCCCTCCTCATAGTCTCAGAGACAGCAGCGGGAGCCATCGACTCCTGCTGCTGTCAATCAGAGCCAGTAAGGAGGGAGCAGTGGGGCAGGGCTGAGCCACGCTTTGTGTGTGTCTATGGAATGGGGACACAGAGCTGGCTTGAGAGCAAACTTGTACGAGTGTCCCCATACCAAGTGCTTGCTATGGTTGGCACTCCGCAGGAGGGAGGAGCCGTGAACACCAGCAGGGGGACCCCAGGAGAGGAGGATCGGCACTGCTCTGTGCAAACAAATTGCACAGAGCAGGTAAGTATGACATGTTTGTTTTTTTATTTATTTATTTTTAAATTTTGGTATACAATCTTTTTAAAACAAACTACAGGGCTAACACAAGGGTACTTTTATGTGTTATGCCTTAACCTCACATCATAGACGTGCTGTCAAAGTAAATAAAGTACCTTTTGTTGTGCCTTTTTTTTCTCTTCCTTTTAGAGAAATCACACGATCACTTCCCTCCCTCTTATGTTGAATCCCTGCACCAGTTGTGGGCAGGGATCCGAGCAGTGTAATACGGTGGTAATGGCTGTGGTGCTATAATGAGGGATCAACTCTTTCATAGTCACAACCATAACACAATAGAAAAAGAGGCTGTGTACCTATGCAGCACTGTAATTCAGAGGCGGGGGGGAAGAAGAAACGGTGACAACACTGGGGTTAATTCCAAAAGGTATCTAACATTGTCAGCCATAAGCAGGAAATGCCTTAAAGTGGAATTGCTCTGCATCTGAGCTCCACAAACCAAAATGATATTTAATTCATCTTTAACCGTTTCAATACCGTGCAATTTTACACCTTCCTGCCCAGGCCATTTTTCAGGTTTCAGCACTCTCACACTTTGAATGACAATGTCATGTGACCTGCTGTGATCGGTCACAGCTGGTCACATGGTACCAGCAACGGGAGCCGGTACTTGGATCTGTCATCGGCCGTGTCCGAGGTGCACGGCCGGTGACAGATCGCACTGCTGCGCCGCTCTGCATTAGCGCAAACGGCGCATGTGCGGGAGCACGCCAAATGGCGTGCACCCGGAATGCAGGGACACATTTGAAGCCGCCAAACGGCCATTGGCCGGGCGGCTAATGGTTAATATTCAAAGAAAACTCACCCATCCATCCATGTCTCAAATGCTTTATTTTGCTGAAAAATATTTTTGAAAAAAACACCCCCTAGCATTTCTGGCAGTGGCAACCTTGAGTAAGGGCAGAGGATTCATGTAGCATTTACTTCATGGAATCCATCTGCCCTTAGCTCAGGAAATCGGCTGAGCTGAGAACCCTCCCTCCCTGGGATGTATGAGATCATTTGCCTAGGCAGGAAAACAGGGAGTAACTAAAGAAATGTAAAAACAAAAGATTAAAACATACTTTCCTATCTATTTAGATAGATATACTTTCCTACTGTATCTATCTGTATTTACTAATGCTAGCAGCATAGGGATTAAAAATAGTCAATGTTGATTTAGAGAGTGAAGTTTCATTTTAACAATAATTACAGACAGGATCAACAGTTCTGAGCCTAGAAAATTGCATGCATTTGAATATGGCATACAGGTATTGAAATATTTGGAGGAGTTCTAGTTTCACAGACAAGTTTCTGTGTAAGCTGGTAAATACACTTTAAAATTAGAAAGATCACTTCCTCTTAAATGAGATGGAATTTATTTTCTCAGAGTAGAAAATTAGTTTTAAATTGTTTTAATGTACACAATAATGGCATTAGTCAACATAAAAAAACCTTATTGTAAATACATAAACTTTACTTCTCTATATAGTCTGACAGTGGCAACCACATTTGCTCCATATACATGCAGCCTCTATTTAATGCTTAGCCATACTGCATGATGATTGTGTTTTACCATTTCTCTCTTCCACAGCAAGGACTTTAGGTAAAACTGAACTCCAGGCAGATACAATATACAAAAATGAACACAACTCTGTATTAATTTATACAGCATGAATGGCAAGCAGTGCAAGTACCCGAACTTGACTTTGTATCAACCTTTTTCCACTGTATATCAAAGCTCGGACTGGAAGAAGGTGAAGCAGCAGGAGACAGAAGGACCCAGTGAATTGTACTGCTGTGCTCATATGCCAGGATATGGGGGAGAAAGCACCCTGTCAAGGCATTTTCAATTTTTATACAGAAATAACTGGAAGATTGGATCCAAAAGGAAAGGTCTTGGTGGCCTTCAAAGCCCTATAAGACGCAAGGCCAGAAACAGCAATAGTAGAAGGAACAGCCTAAGGTTGGCCATAGATGGTCATTTCTTTTCATTCAACCAGCAGGCTGAATAAAAAAAAACTGATCGGATCCCTCCATCCACACATTCAAAGTGGATGGGGGAATCCTCCCCACTGTATCTTTGTATATTGACAGCGGGGAGACTTCCCAGCGATCACAATACACAGATCACTGCTCGGTCTACAGCCTGCAGAACTGATTGAGTGGAATTTTTCCAACAGGGCCCTTGTACAGAAATGGATCAGTAGATCAACTTTTATACAAAACACAATTCCCACACATGGATTGAAGTTCGGCTGATCCCTGGTGAACTGGCTGAACTTCAATCCATTTATGGGTAGCTTTAGCTTCACGCTTCCAAAATGGTGCGCACCACATCAGTAAAAAACAAAATATTTGGTAGTAATTAGAAGTAGACTGACTCCTCAGGGGAAAGCTCATTAAAGACTTGAGTAACTCAGAATCAGATAAGGTCCCCAGGGTTGATAGCTCAGATCAGCTATGAAAGCTGCCAGAGAGGGTGTGATAACAGGTTTGCTGCCTCCATACTTACAGCCCGATTATACCTGGGTAATCTGGGTCAAAATCCTGCAGGACCATGGTAAAAATCTATGCCTAAAAGGGCGGAAGCCACACACAATGGAACCAAAGAGAACTATGATGGGAGGACAGACTCCAAAATCAAAGTGCAGCTTGTCTCCAGGCTAAAGATGTGCTGCAAGTCGACTCCAACCGTTAGTGAACGTATTAGAAGCACTCAATATCTGGAAAACAGGTGGCAGCAGGGACAAGGAGGTTCCCTCAGAAGTGTGCTGCCAGTTCTTCACCATCTAATCAAAGGCTGTGGCCAGTTTGTTGTGCTCATCTACGCTAGAGAAAAATGAGGTCACTCATCTGGCTGTGCTGTCTGGTAGAGAGATCTTAACCACTTGCCTACTGGGCACTTATACCCCCTTCCTGCCCAGGCCAATTTTCAACTTTCAGTGCTGTCGCACTTTGAATGACAATTGCGCGGTCATGCAACACTGTGCTCACATGAAATTTTTTTTTTATTCTATTATAAAATTTTGCAAACAGGTAATCACTGATGTGCATTGATGAAGCTGCACTGATAGGCAGCACTGATGAGCTGGAACTGATGATGCTGCACTGATAGGCGGCACTAATGAGCACTGATGTGTGGCACTGACTGACGACACTTCTTGGCACTGATGGGCAGCACTGATGGGCACAGCTGGGCGACACTGCTCATCAGGGCAGTGATCATCCATGCCCTGATGATCAGTGCCGATCACTTCTCTGGCAATTTCCGGTTATTGGAAAGTGCAGCCGATAACCGGCAACTGTATTTACCCGGTGATCTGCTGTGTCACTGGACACGTGGTAAAAGGCTGCTGTGATTGGCAGTTTACCATATCACGTGATCAACTGTGTCCGTAGGACACAGCTATTACTGGCGGCACAGGGGTGCGCAGGGGGTGCACAGGGGGCATGTTCTGGAATGATGTCCATGGACATTGTCCCAGAACTAGACGACCGCGCTGTAGCCTTCTTTCGGCTATAGCGCGGTAGGGAAGAAGTTAATCACAAGACTGCTTGGAAAGAATAGTAAATCCTTTAGCAGGCAAATATAAGGACCCAACTCACCTTTTACATTTAGGGTTAATTCCTCAGTGAAGAACGTTTTAGGATCTTTACAAAATGCATCGCTCGATTGTCCAGGAAGAACAGGTGTATGAGGCATTAGCTTGAACAGGTTGTAAAGCAGTTTATTTAGGCTCTTCGTCTTCCGCAGATACTGTGAGTAGAGTGCTCGCAGCTGGAAATGGAAAGATGATGTCTATTACACCAATGTCTAGCTCCAGGCAAAATAGAAATACTAACACTTTTATGCATTCACAAAAAAATAAATAAATAAATATAATATATATATATATATATATATATATATATAGTTGTGTTCAAAATAATAGCAGTCAGACATCACTTACCTGATCAATCACTGTTTTTGGTAGAAATGATATTTCTACATGGCACATAATTTACTAGCAGGTGTAGTAGAGTAACAGAAATCCAACAGACCCAACAGTCATGACATGCATGCTGCTGATTCTGTGTCATTGAATCACAAATTGAAAGGGGCATGTTCAAAATAATAGCAGTGTGGAGTTCTATTAGTGAGGTCATTCATTCTTTGAAAAACAGGTGGCAATTATTGCCCTTATTTAAGGAAGGAAGGCAGCAAATGTTGTACATGCTGGTTACAGTGCATTTCTCTCTGAAATTCTGAGGAAAATGGGTCGTTCCAGACATTGTTCAGAAGAACAGCGTACCTTGATTAAAAAGTTGATTGGAGAGGGGAAAACATATAAAGAAGTGCAGAAAATGATAGGCTGCTCAGCTAAAATGATCGCAAATGCTTTAAAATGGCAACCAAAACCTGAAAGACATGGAAGAAAGCGAAAAAAAACTACCATTCGAATGGAGAAGAATAGCGAAAACGGCAAGGACTCAGCCAACAATCAGCTCCAGGAAGATCAAAGAAGGTCTAAAGTTCCCTGTGAGTACTGTTACAATTAGAAGACGCCTATGTGAAGCCAAGATATCTGCAAGAAGCCCCCGCAAAGTCCCACTGTTGAAAAAAAAAAAAAACGTGCTGAAGAGGTTACAATTTGCCAAAGAGCACATTGACTGGCCTAAAGAGAAATGGCGCAACATTTTGTGGACTGATGAGAGTAAGATTGTTCTTTTTTGGGTCTAGTGGCCGGAGACAGTTTGTCAGACGACCCCCAAACACTGAATTCAAGCCACAGTACACTGTGAAGACAGTGAAGCATGGTGGTGCAAGCATCATGATATGGGGATGTTTCTCATACTACGGTGTTGGGCCTATTTATCGCATACCAGGGATCATGGATCAGTTTGAATACATCAGAATACTTGAAGAGGTCATGCTGCCTTATGCTGAAGAGGAAATGCCCTTGAAATGGGTGTTCCAACAAGACAACGACCCCAAACACACCAGTAAACGTGCAACATCTTGGTTCCAGACCAACAAGATTGACGTTATGGAGTGGCCAGCCCAATCCTCGGATCTTAATCCAATAGAAAACTGTTGGGGTGACATCAAAAATGCGGTTTCTGAGGCAAAACCAAGAAATAGAGAAGAACTGTGGAATGTAATCCAATCATCCTGGGCTGGAATACCTGTTCACATGTGCCAGAAGTTGGTTGACTCCATGCAACACAGATGTACAGCAGTTCTCAGAAACAGTGCGACTACAACTAAATATTAAGTGATTCAAAGGAAAGCAAAATCTTCAAACATTTTTCAGTTTATATAGTGAATGTTTGAGTTTGTAAAGAAGAATACAAAACACTTTTTTTGAACAGTCTAATAGTCACTTTTCTTCAATTTTTTTTTAAGAGGAACAACACAAATTTGATATATTTTTCTTCATGTTTTGATTTGGAATAGAATGTGTAGTGTTCCAAATCCATTTGTGTGTATGGAAATAAAAGTTATTAGAAGGATTTTCAGCTTTATTCACTTTTTTCAACACACTGCTATTATTTTGAACACAACTGTGTGTATATATTATATATATATATATATATATATATATACATATACATACACACACACACACACACACACACACACACACACACACACACACCTGTATGTTTACATTATGCATTCAAAAACACTTTCATAGAATACTCTAGGGCCCTTTCTGGATCTTAAAATGAACCTACTAGAACATGCCCTGTGTCCCACTTCTAAGCCATTCTTATTACAGAGAAGCCCTAGTACACTGAGCCATCTGTCTATTTTCTACCAATTTAAAGCTTCAGCAGCAGATTTCTGCATCTCTACCCCCTCTGTAATGCCATACAAAAGGTGCTACTATATCAGTATGCTGGCATTACTTTAGATAGCCCCACATGGCTGTTAGGGCTCCTGCACTCACTCCACGGATACACGGTGCGCTGATTTATAGAGGAGAGTGAACATACCTATCTGCCCTCGCTATACTATCACTACACTCCATAGCCTTCATTTTATGGCCCATTCATAAAATTTAGCCCGCTGTGATAAGCCTGAGACACATTACAGGAGTTCTCTCTGCTAAAGGCAAGGGAGAGAACTCCATCAAAGGAGGAAAGACAGGTCACATAAGTGAGAGCTCCTGTTGGCCTTTTGCTTCCCTTTCAATCATTTTGATAATCTAATGCACAGCATAATGCACACTTGCAAAGTGCAACTTTAACGTTTTGTTCATTTCACAAGTATTTTTAAACATGCAGCTTACAATAAAAAGGTTCTGGCACCTCCTTTCAGAGTAAAAACACTTTCTCCCTGTCTCCAAATTGTTCTCCCGCATGATTACACATTCTTAAAACTAAGAATACTAGTGGCTGTGCAGATGCACAGACATGTTCCACTGTTCTCACCATCAGGAAACTTGCCCTGAGAAATGACATGCAGCCATTGAGATATGCAGTGCTGATATGCAACAATGACTAAAAACAGTATTAACCTCTTGCGGACCATGTAAGGCATATGTGGTGCAGAAGGTAGGGTAATCCTCAATGGCCACACACCGCATCCATGGCTGAAATTTGTGGACTGAGAGCACACTTACTGCTCGCTCCCAGCAAAGTCACCAAGCTGTCACAGACAGCCCCAGTCCCGGTTTATGATTGGGAGCTGGCAGGATGAGCTCCCAATCATGTGCCAACTGACAGCCTTCCGTAATTAAGACCCAGTTAAATGGTCGTGAGGAGGGAGCAGGAAGGGGTTCAAACATGGCAAGTGTTTATGGCACACATTGTTTCAGCAAACCAAATGTCATCCTATTAGGCATCAGATCTACTTTAAATCTGTCAGACACAAAAGAATACAATTGCCAGTGTAGCTCTAGCCTAAAGATGACAACATGCTGCAGTCTGCTTGAGCAACTATATATTGCAAGGACCTTTTTGGCTACAAATTGACATGTATTTAGTAAATTTTAAATAGATGGCCCGATTGTAAAATCATAACTTGTATCACCAAATTTTACGTCAGTTTTGGGTAAGTTAGCCTTTAATAAATTAGTGATACACTAAAGCAATAATGCTGGTTGACAGTGGATATATTTTAAGCACATGACACTAAAAATAAGGAATGTTTATGGCTTGAATCTGATAGAACACATACCAGTGACTGATTTAGGATATACAGAAGATGCTGCTAATGACGAAAAGCCAATAGAGACAGGAATAATAACATACTTGAGATGATGCAGCCTTGAAGAACATTAGTATAAGTTTCCATGTCAGGAGATAGCCCAGAACAAAGCAGAACTCTTCTTTTAATGGCTGGATTACAGCAAACTCTCCCACTTGAATTCCTCGTAGAAGATTTTCTACTAAATCCTCCTGGACAGCCAGTACGGACATGAGAGCCACAGGTGGAGATCTACAAACAAGCATCAGGAGAGTAAGTAGACAGAAGAGAGGGGATTCTGCCTGATAATTACTATAGACCTCATATAAAACGAATGGAAGAGGAAGTGAAGGTGTTACCAATAGAAAAACAAAAAAAAGACAACCTAAAAGTAACAGCATGACTCTTCTCCTGCAAGTGCAAAGCTCATGTATTCAGGCACCAGACAGTCACTGGAAAAAAGACAGCACTGTCATTGAGCTTTGCATAAGCCACCTTTTTTCCTATAGTCCATCATGAGATGGGCGAGTACCATTATACAGGTTTCAGGCCAGGAAGGGTACTAAACAGTGCAAATGGAGGATACTGCGCAATAGCAGAAATGAAAAATGAAGCGCCACACCACTGCTAAGAGATCAAGATACAACTTTATTCCAAGAAAAGTCAGGTGCACAATTCAAAAAGTGTCCAACACATTTGGGGTCCAGAATCAGGTCCTTCATCAGGGCTTGACTGACAACAATATGAATAGACTAGACATTTACTGGACCTTTAATGCTATTTTTTCCCAGTGTGAATGCAAATACAGATCTCCTCAGCAGCTGGTTTGCCAAACGTTGTTGACAATCAAGCCCTGATAAAGGGGGAGCTCTTGACCCTCAGAAATGCATTGGATATTTTTTGGATTGTCCCCCAACATTTATCAGAATAAAGTTGTGTCTGGACCTGTTAGCAGTGGTGCAGTGCTTCAGTTTTAATTTTTGTTACATCCTTTATACAAGCCAAGGAGACTGGAGATTGGAGTGTAGAAGCCGCTTGCCCATGAACAAGAGCATTTACATCAACATAATACTTTAAGATAACAATACCAGTGAGTTAACCCTACAGGTCCAATGCTATTTTTCCACTTTCCTAAACTATAACAGCATGAGAAGACATAAATAAGGCAGAAGATTCTGAGACTGAATTTTGTGCTGGAATTTTGCAGCAACTCTGTACTGAGCTGAAACACAGAAGAACCTGCCTTTTCTTCTACAATTTAACACTTGGTGCAGTCAGTTACACAGTTAGTCTGGCTGAAAAAAGACAAAAGTCCATCCAGTTCAAATATATCTATCTATCCATCCATCCAATTATAATCCTTCACCCACAGTTGATCAGGAGGAAGGCAAAAAACACAGCAAAGCATGATCCAATTTGCTTCCTGAACCACCGAGAGGCAATCAGATATTCCCTGAATCAACTTTACCTATAAATGTTAGTAACCAGTATTCTGTGTATCCAAGAAAGAACCCAGGCCTTTTGTAAAGCAATCCACTGAGCTGGCCAGAACCAACTCTTGAGTGAGTCTATTCCACATTTTCACAGCTCTCACTGTGAAGAAACCTTTCCATGTTTGGAGATTAATTTTCTTTTCCTCCAGACGTAAAAAATGCTCCCTCTGTGATGACCTCAGGGTGAATAGCTCTACACCGAGTTCACTATATGAACCACTGATGTATTTATACATGTTGATCATATCCCCCCTTAATCTCCTCTTCTCAAGAGAGAATAAATTCAGTTCCTCTAATCTTTCCTCATAGCTGAGCTCCTCCATGCCTCTTATCAGTTTAGTTGCCCTTCTCTGTACTTTCTCCAGTTCTCCAAAGTTCTATTTGTGAATTGGTGCCCAAAACTGAACTGCATATTACAGATGAGGTCTTACTAATGATTTGTACCGGGGTAATATGATATCTCTCTCCCTGGGAGTCTATACCGCTTAATTATTTTGCTCACTTTAGAAACCTCAGCTTGGCATTGCATGCCATTATTAAGCTTGTGATCTACCAGAACTCCAGATCCTTCTCCACCATTGACTCCCCCTAGTATGTATGATAAATGCATATTCTTAGCCCCCAAGTGCATAACCTTACAATAAACCTTGTTGTTAGATGCAACCAATATGGAGGAAAGTGTAGTTAGTTTAACAATACATAGGGATTTCTGGCGAGTACAGTTGAAACGGTGTGAGGTTAAAATAAAGCTAACCACTATTAGCACCTCTCCACCAAACTGGTAGCAAAAAGTAAAAATATGTTTACTGCAGACAGTGGCTTACGGTCCATTTGCCTTAGAGCAGGTGATATTCCTTAGCCTTCCTTCAACAGTGATACCACCATGGCCTAGGCTGCAATTAAATATTTTTTTTACCTACCTTTTTTTCTTTTTTTTAACCTATGGTGGGCCAAGAAATAGTAGCAAGTTCTTTTTTCATGGAAGGTCCACTTTAAAGTGGTTGTAAACCTCAGACATGAAATATGAACAAAGCATGTTCCGCTAGTGTGTGTACTTGTCTCACTTCAGAGCCCCATTTGTCATTTTGTCTGCTACCCCATTATTCGGTTATCAGAAGAAATCACTTCTGACAAGTATTCCGGATACCAGGAGAAAAATGGTGACCTAAAGCAGATTGACAGCCTCAGCTCTGTTCCTGTGTGGAAGGTGGGGGGGGGGTGTCTCTCTTCCCTCCAATCAGCTCTCAGAGCTCTCCTCACTGACCTCTGCAAAGTGTAACATCAGCTTTCGACCCCCTTTTTTTCTGAACTCTCAAGACAAGCTGTATAGATTCAGCACTTTGGACGGATGTGGCGAAGAGGAGAATGCAGATAAACAGATACAACTTACATAGAAGGATTTGATTCATATCTGTGTATCATTTGAGGCCAGTCACTTCAATGGGTATATGTAAGGGTTTACAACCACTTTAAAAAGCAACAGCAGACACCTCATGGCACCTGCTACCACTCTACATTTACTATTGAAACTGTGGTATAAAATAACAATGCGGACCATGTGGAAATTTTATGGATTTTTAAAGTATTTGTAAGTTTGCTTTAAACTGCCTACTTCTGTAGCAAAAAAATTGTTACACGTCATCTTAAACTATATGGAAATCCTGTGCTGATTTTCCCCCTGTGGCTGATGATGATCAGAGGAACAACATTCTGGCACCTTGTATAGATGAAGAAGAAATTCCATATAATTAACAGGAACACACTGGGAACATAACTCCAGGCAATAAACGCCTTTCACATTTACTTAATCAAAACCAAATTTATCTTACTGTAGGTATTCATTTACGTTTGCTGCTAGATTTTTAGGCCAGTGTTTATCCCAGCTACATCATCCCACCAATTCACAGTACAAGGTGACACATCGTTCGCTCTCAGTTCCAATATTAATCTATGAGTCACAGTTGAGTGGGGAAGTTCTTCGGGAAACCACATCAACCGTAACAAAAAAAAAGAAGCAAACTCATCAATTTCATCTGGCCCAGTTTTTCTGGTTTCCAATTCTGGTTCAGTTTTTCCCTCTTCTACATTTTATGTACAAATTCCCAAAATCCCCTGCATAATGGAAATCATGCTGAAAATTTAATATCCAAAACTGTGAGCCAATCAGGCTGAAATTCACACTGCTCTCATTCTATACCTATTTTGCTCACTGGGAGCTTTGTATCTGAACTCCAGGGAGATATCAGACACAAATGTAAATCTCAGGAAAGGAAAGAACAGAAATGCAAATGACCTGAAAGATCAAACAATTCCCATATACACCGATTAAAAAAATTAAAGGAACACTTTGAAAACACATCAGATCTCAATGGGGAAAAATATCAAATATACTGATATGGACTGGGTTATGTGTTAGGAATGTAAGGATGCCCCATCGTTTGATGGAAATGAAAATTATTAACCTACAGAGGACTGAATTCAAAGACACCCTGAAAATCAATGTAAAAAATTGATGCAGAAGGCTAGTCTATTTTTCTGAAATTTCATTGCAGTAACTCAAAATGGTCCTCAGTAGTTTGTATGGCCCCCACGTGCTTGTATGCATGCCTGACAACGTCGGGGAATGCTCCTAATGAGATGACAATGTCCTGAGGTATTTCCTTCCAGATCTGGACCAGGGCATCACTGAGCTCCTGGACAGTCTGAGATGCAACCTGGCGGCATCGGATGGGACGAAACATGATATCCCAGAGGTGTTCTATTGGACTTAGGTCAGGCGAGCATGGGGCCCATTCAGTGCTATCAATTCCTTCATCCTCCAGGAACTGCCTGCATATGCAGGCCATAGACAGGTCGTTTATCTGCCAAATTTTTGTCCGCACGAAAAATCAGCCGATAATCACGCCATTAGTGGGGCCAGCCCGTCGGCCATTTTTTGTGGATCTTCTCATTTAGTTTTATCGGTCATGCTGGAAAATCCATGAAAAACGGCTGACATGGGTGGCAGCATTGGCAACGGGCCGACCGATTTTTCGTTTATCGTTCTATGGCCTGCCATTTTCTCACCACATGAGGCCGGGCATTGTCAGGACGAGGAACCCAGGACCCACTACAACAGTGTAGGGTCTGACAATGGGTCCAAGGATTTCATCCCAATACCTGATGGCAATCAGGGTGCCATTGTCTAGCCTGTAGAGGTCTGTGAGTCACTCCATGGATATGCCTCCCCACACTATCACTGACCCACCACCAAAATGGTCATGCTGATCGATGTTATAGGCAGCATAACATTCTCCATGGCTCCTTCAGACCCTTTCACATGTGTCACATGTGCTCAGGGTGAACCTGCTCTCATCTGTGAAAAGCACAGGGCACCAGTGGCGGACCTGCCAATTCTGGTGTTCAATGGCAAATGCCAATCGAGCTCTATGGTGCCAGGCAGTGAGCACCACTAGAGCATGTCGGGTTGTCAAGCCACCCTCATGAAGTCTGTTTCTGATTGTTTGGTCAGAGACATTCACACCAGTGGCCGTCTGGAGGTCATTTTGCATCCTGCAGTGCTCATCCTGTTCCTCCTTGCACAAAGGAGCAGATACCAGTCCTGCTGATGGGTTAAGGACCTTCTACAGCCCTGTCCAACTCTCCTAGAGTAACTGCCCATCTCCTGGAATCCCCTCCATGCTTTTGAGACTGTGCTGGGAGACACAGCAGACTTTCTGGCAATGGCACGTGACTGCCTGTGCAACCTCTGTGGGGTCAAGGTATCACTTCATGCTAGCCAAATGCAAAACTAGTGGAAAGACAGTCAGAAAAAGATGTGTAGGGACAAAAATATCAGTGGCCACCTGTAAAGCCATTCCTGTTTTGGAGGGCATCTCATTGTTGCCCATCTAGTGCACCTGTTGTTAATTTCATTAACACCAAAGCAGCTGAAACTGATTAACAACCCCCTCTGCTACTTAACTGAGCAGATCAATATCCCAGGAGTTTAAATGACTTGATGCTATACTCTGCTTAAAAAGTGTTTGTTTAATTTTTTGGAGCAGTGTACGTATTTCATCTGAGTATTTAGCTTTTTTCTCTGGAGTTCATCCTCCAAGTAGAACTAAAAGAGGCAAAACTTTTTTTTTAATCATTTTGGATAGCATGAGGGAGGGTTATAACCCCTGTCAGGTTTTCTGTCATCTTTGTCCAATTGGGGAGATTTAGGCGGGCCATAGACAGTTTGAATCTTGGACGGTTCCTGCTGAACCAGCCAGGATTCGAACAGTGTATGGACAGGCTTGAAGTGTTACTAAACACACAACAGTAAAGTTAGTCTGTATATGCAGTAAAGCATGCTTGTAATACTCACTATTCAACCTAGGGGTTAATTATTCACATGGTTTAAAAAGGATGTTTGATCCTGTCTTCTCTGATCCTCCCCTTCTTTCATTGTCCCCTAAAATATCCCCTGATAGAACAGAGGTTTGGAGTCACTCTGCACCTGCTCAGTTTGGTGTGTATTGCTAGAGAGATTATTTTTCTTGGGAGAGTGCATGTGATCAGCACAGGGTCAATCAGTACTGTCCAGACAGGTCAGGGGTCCTGCATCCTCTTAGAGGAGAATGAAAACTCCTCCTACACGCTTTAGCCAGTGCTCTGCTGGACACTGATAGAAGTCACAAGACTGCTCTAACTGCTGATAAGAAAAGGTGCTTAGCAGTTTAGATTTACTAAAATAATTGCATTTCCATGTTCTGCGTACTGTGGGAGATCAGATACAGTAAATGCAGGGTCCTGGATTTAGTATTTAATGTACCAAGGTGATCGATCGATCAGCTTGGGTACAACCAGCCTGCCAGATTTACTTGCAATTCACGTCTTCTCCCAGTGGGGATGGCGCGCCCCCCCCACCCAGAAAATAAAATTGCTTGGTAGCAGGGATTTCCCTGTCAGCACGGTCTGTGTTGATGGGGGAATTGTGCCAATTTCTTCGGTTGCAGGAAAGAAATATGCACCATCTATGGCCGGCCTTATCTTCACTTCCTGTCCCATAACTAAAACAGGAACTGAGGGAAATCCCTGCAAATTCAGGGTATTCTTTGGGGACAACCAGAATTAGTGCTCCCATTGAAAAATTTATCCCCATTACTCTTCTAGGGACAACTCAAAATGTAGGGTTTTTTCTTTCACTTTTGATGATAATGGTAATCATTGCAAACAGAGGATGAATCTCTCCAATGGGGCACAGACAGCAATAAAAAACAGGTGTTATAATCCACTCTGTCCAAAAAAAAAAAAAAAAAAAAAGTTTTGCTTTTAGTTATAGTTATACTTCAGCTATTGAAATTGGAACTTCAGGCAACCAGCTAAATAAATTGGAAACATGAGAATCCTATATCCCACAATAACATGTTCCTGCACAGGGAATGTCTTTTTACAAAAATGTTGGATCCATAGCTTTCCCAGGATCCTGTAGTGAGGTCAGGGACATAACCAGCACCTACATAAAGCAACTGGATGTTGGGTGTGAGGCAAGTCATCTTCTTGCATTTGTTTGGCTTTATTTGGGTATTTTGTTGGGGGTGGAGCTTTTAAGATAAGTCAACCTTGCATTTTCATAGGAGGTTCTCTTTATAGCCCAGTCAATAGTCTTATAGAAAACTGCACCCAGGATTTCAAGGTGCAGCAAAAGTACACTTTTCCAATTTCCTAGCTGTCATAACTCTGTGCGACTCCCCACTGCCATTTATATGGTCAGTCCCCAGCCAGTAACCTGCAAAGTGCATGCCCAATGCTGAAGGAGTTGCTGGTTGCATAGATGGAGCAAGATAGCTGCTTGCACAGAGAGAGCAGCGGTCCCTGTTTGCAGATTACCGGCAAGAGGCGGACAATATTAGTGGCAACGCGGTGCATGTACACAGATATGAAAATTTACATACGGAATGGCAGTCACTTTTCTGCACCCCAAAAACATAATTGCAGTTCCCTTTACGTCTATTGAGTCTTTTGAAAAATATGTCAAGCCAAAAACCTTTTCTAGTTTTGGTGAGAGTAAGGAAAGATTTGTAGTTCCTTTGGGTATTCTACTTTTTTGGGGGGCTCCGTTTGAGGGATTTACCCCTTGTTTCCTCTTCAGAATTCCTCATGGGTGGAGCTAGAAACTCAAGTACCGAGATCTCACTGTTGGAATCTCTGAACAAAATCCATGTAACATGACTAACTGGTTGAATCCGACGGCATTATTTTAAACTGAGACACCAATTTTAGGCTCCACGCACACTAGTGTTTTTTTCTCCTAGAAGATGTTATCAGTATTTTTTTTCTGCTCCTCGAAGCTAAATGGTGTTATCCTGTGTCCATGCACACTATTTTAGGCTAGTAGCGTTTTTCACGCTTCAGTGTTCAGCAGTAGAAAACAAAAAATTTTTGTAGTTTTTGGGAGCATTTTTCCATCAGAAAAAAACAAAAAACACTGAGCGCTCCTAAACGATACTAAAAACACTTCTATCACAAGTGTAATAAAAGCGCCACACCCTTAATACTTTAAAGCAGCAATTCCACCTCAAAGAAACCAAATACATTTCTTAGTGCTATAACTTAAATAAAGGAATGCGCTAAAAGGGCACCCCTTGAAGACGTCATTCATGACGAAACTAGTAGGGCTTGGCTTGCTGGATGCCGACGTCTGTGGAGAGGATTGAGTCACGAGCACTGTAGTGAGTGTACGGGGAACAGGAGACTGTTATACCATTTGCTGTTTTATGCTGTTATACTGGTGTCGGTGAAGACACCCTTTTTGTGAGTGTAAATCTTTATTAAATTGTTGGATACTTTTATAAAAAAACTGGCTGCACCATGATTTTTCTTTCACTCCCAAACATGACCTCGGTGGAGAGATATAAAAAGAGAGAGTGATATAATGCTCCTGGAACCATTATACTGAGTGGTGGATACCTACCTTATGGATGATTGTGTAGCTATTGATCATCACACCTGAGAAGTTGATTTATTGCATCTGCTCCCAGAGCAAAAAGCGTTTTTTGCTGATCTAGAGATTGATCAGCATGGAGCTCTGGTGAGTTACCCAACTTTACTTTGGTGGTGGATTTTGGCACAATTTCTTTGAGAGCACTTGAATTTGAAAAGGATTTGTTTGGACATTTGAAGAAATTCAAAATTGGACAATTTGTATATTCACTGATTTAATTATTTAAATTACTTATGCACTAAAAAATAGTTTTGCACATAATTTTGATATTTTTTTTTTATATTAATTGAGAATAGATATATATATCTTTTGCACTAATGTTTCTACACTAAATTAGGAATAGTTTGTGGTTTTAGCGCATTCCTTTATTTAAGTAAAAACACTTCTAACAGCTTTTTTAGAGCTTTTTGTTCTTTGGCTCCTCGCACACTAGTGTTCTTTATAAGCTAAAAAAATGCTAGAAAAAAAGCTGGATGAAAAACGCTAATAGCGTTTTTGTGTCAGCGTTTAGAAGCATTTTTACAGTAGAAAAAGCTAGAAAAAAAAAAGCTGTTAGGAGCAGTTTAGTAGCATTTAGCTTTTTTTCTGCTGGAAAAACGCTCCCAAAATCTCTACAAAAACATTTTTTTTTTTCTGTTCTTAAACTTGGCCTAAAATAGTGTGCATGGACACATAGGATAACACTATTTAGCTTCTAGGAGCAGAAAAAAAAATGCTAACAGCTTCTAGGAGCTTAAAAAAACCGCTTGTGTGCATGGAGGCTACATGTTCTATAAAATCAGCTAATAAAACACTATTGCTCCAAAACACTACTAAAATGTTAGTACAAGCTGGCACAAAAAAAGCTATTATCAGCATTTTTCATCCAGCTTTTGTTTTCTAGCGTTTTTTGAGCTTATAAAAAATGCTAGCGTGCATGGAGCCTAAAGGAGGAATGGCTTTCTAAACAAAAAAAAAAAAAAAGCTGTCAATCCGAGGTCATAAAATCTTCCTGGCTTATTAAAATTATGGGCAGGCTAGAAATATCATTAGATACATTTTAAGACTTACAAAACGGGTTCCTCTTCTTCATCAGATTTAAGATCTTCATCAAACACGGGCAAGTCGACCATAATCCTGTAAAAAAATGCAGACAGGTCTGTTATATCTTCTCAAAAACCTTGCAGGACAATGACAAATTAAAAGTGTTTGGTCACCTTTACAGAAATAAAATGTAAAACGGTAATTAACACGGACACCATCCCCTGCCTCCCAGTCCCTGCTGTACTGATCTGTCAGCAGTCCTGCAGCTGCTCCAACAGTCCAGGGATTTGAAATCCCCGCGCTTCTCTATCTTCTCTGTGAAGCGCTTCTAGGACAAAATCAATTCACCGTGATGGCATTGACTAATCAGAATCCCAGAAGCACTGCATAGAGAAGGGGGAGAACACAGATTTCAAATCCCCAGACCGCTAAACCGGCTGCAGGGGTCCTGACAGTTCAGAAGCACCGGAGGCAAATACAGCGAGGGCCAGAAGAAGGGATCTAGTGTTAGTTCACCCTTCCAGAAAAAGATGTAAGATGAACTGACTCTAAGCATTTTAAAACACGCACGTGGATTAGTCTGTCACTCAACTAACAAAGCATGTCTGGTTCTAGTAGTTTGTGATCTTTAGTGGTTATGTGAATGCAGGTAGTACAGAGTTTAGCAGTTATGACTCCTGCCAAACAATTATTGAAATAGACAGGAATCTGGAGGAGGTGCCTTACTTGATATTCTCCCATGTCTGCAGTTACAGAGCACTGGCCTGGGCCCAATGGCGACTCTCATAGCATAGGAAAGGAGAAGAAATAGGTAAGATTTGCAAACTTGCTTGTTATCTATGTATAAGAGCTAATGTTAGCAGCTGTTTCATTGCCAACTAATAATGGCATGCAATGTCAAGCTGCAGTTTCTAAAGCGAGCAAAATCATCTCTTGTATTAAAAGAGGTATAGACTCCAGAGAGAGAGAGAGAGAGAGAGATCATATTACCCCGGTACAAATCATTAGTAAGACCTCATCTGGAATATGCAGTTCAGTTTTGGACAACAATTCACAGAAAGAACATTGGGGAACTGGAGAAAGTACAGAGAAGGGCAACTAAACTGATAAGAGGCATGGAGGAGCTCAGCTATGAGGAAAGATTAGAGGAACTGAATGTATTCTCTCTTGAGAAGAGGAGATTAAGGGGGGATATGATCTCCATGTATAATACATAAGGGGGATATGATCAACATGTATAAATACATCAGTGGTTCATATAGTGAACTCGGTGTAGAGCTATTCACCCTGAGGTCATCACAGAGGACAAGGGGGCACTCTTTACGTCTGGAGGAAAAGAGATTTAATCTCCAAACATGGAAAGGTTTCTTCACAGTGAGAGCTGTGAAAATGTGAAATAGATTCCCTCAAGAGTTGGTTCTGGCCAGCTCAGTGGATTGCAGCAAAAAAGGCCTGGATTATTTCCTAGATACACAGAATATAACTGGATACTAACATTTATAGGTAAAGTTGATCCAGGGAATATCCGATTGCCTCTCGGGGGATCAGGAAGGATCAGCAAGAATTTATTTGTTCCCAGCAGGAGCAAATTGGATCATGCTTTGCTGTTTTTTTTGCCTTCCTCTGGACCAACTGTGGGTATAGGATTATAACTTTTTTTTTTTCTATGGTTAAACTGGATGGACTTTGGTCTTTTTTCAGCCAGACTAACTATGTAACTGAAAAAAACAGCTGTCTTTCATCAGGGTTAGGAATAATCCCACTATATGCAGTGGAACACGTTTTACCACATTGTAAAATATCTGTCACTGTAGGGATCTATTCATACTGCAATGCAGCCTAGTGCTGCAGACATGGTGCATTTTAATCACAGAGCACCATGCTGAATTCTACTGCAAAACGTAAGGCAGCACAGCGCACCGCACTGCCCTACATTGCAGTAAATGAAGTGTACGTTTTGTACACTTACCATAAAGTTAAACTAAAAAAAAAAGTGTGTGTGAAGATGTGAATTATGCACCATTCTGCCCCCCTAACTGCAGGTGGGATCGCAGAGTGGCCACAGCGGTGAATCACTCCAGCTACTCTGCATTGCAGTGCGATTTTGCCCTTAGGTAAAAAGTAACCAAATGCCAATACACTGTAGAAACGGCAACTAATTACGTGTATCTGTATATATTGTAGGGGACTAAGCAGGAGTCAGGATGCTCAGAGCAAAGTGACAGGGTCTGCGCAAAGCCTCATGCACACAGGACATTTTCTAACTCTCCTAGATGCCTTTCCTCATTTGACAGCGGGTTTTGGGCTAAAAAAACAAAAAAAAAAAAAAACAAAAACAAAACAAAACCACTTGATGCTTGTAATGCGCTTGGGCTCATTTAGCCGCATTTTAATTCATCACCTTGGACACAATAATTTTTTCTGGCCATTGAAATGAATGAACACTTAACACACCAAGCAATAACACACATTTTGACCCATTTACATATGTCAAGAGTTTTTTTCTGCCACATCACGCTGCTTCTGGATGCCTCTAAAAGCTCCTGCCACTAAATTCCTCTAAACACCTATGTGTACATGAACACATAGGCTAAACGGCAGGAGCGTTTACAGGCAGAAAAAAAAAAAAAAAAAAAAAAAAGCCAGATGCCCTCAAGAGAAGCTACAAAAATGTCCTGTGTGCATTAGGCCTAAAGGCCCACCTCCCCAGGACCACTTTATATTACCACCTCCAGCACTCCTCCTGTGTCTATTGTGGCAAATAACCGGTACCTTAATGCCTCTATTGACTTCTTCCCCAGCCCACATGCAGAGCCACGTACCTTTGGTTTTTGGGAGGGTTAGCAGTGCTTTGCCACAGCAGTCTATTCCATCCCACGGTTTTGTTACACTTTTTAAAAAGTGCACCAAAAGCCCTGCAGGACAAAAACTGCCGGTACACCATGCGGGGTCCACGCTGCGGGAGAAGTGCACAAGATCAGTGTGAAAGGGGGATTTGGCTTTGGGTGCGTGTGACCTCCTCCCATGATGCAGTCAAGCCTAATGGCCAATTGGCAAGCCTTGAGAAATGTAATGTGACAGAGGGGGTGACCTCACCACTCCCCACCAAGTGACGTCATGCTGCAAAGGAGGAAGGAGATGTAGGGGAGGAGCAGAGAAATAAATATGAAGTGGTCAGCATATAGGCTGTACACAGACACTGCCAATTTGAAAAGGGCAAAATGACAGGGTCTCAAAAGTTTTATTAAACCTTATTTTGGATCACATGCCTTATGGAGTCCTGCGAGACTACAAAACGTTGCCTTGCTGTAACTATGTGATCATTTATTAAAACTTTTGGACCCATATTGGTGATCCTTGGTGTGCTGGTGACATTCTCCCTTGCTTATTTTGAATCAATGACTCAAAGTAAGATGGTCACCATGACAGACTCATGGTTTTTTTTTTTCCAGAAAGGGAGGACACCACCCCCTTAGGTTCTCTTTTAATGCAAGTTTGGAGCTAGACCCATAAGCGGCAAGTGATGCCACCTTTGATTGCTGGCAGTTGTATTGCAAACATGGGGGACAAATATTATGCATATACTGGGGAAAAAAATCCTTTTATATCAAACGTTACAACATCATTTTCACTTCATAATATAATGAAACATTCATCATAGCTTCATTAAAAAAGCAAAGAATCCATCTTCAACATGACTGAAGAATATCCCTGGAATGGTGCTGAATTAACAAGCATAGAGTAGTCCAACCATAAATACAAACTAATGTCAGGTAAATTTATGTCTTTGATGTGGAGATTTTCCCACAGGGATCTCCAATAACATCTGTTGCCAGTTTCCTACAGCTGTTGACAATTTCCATATTTCTTTCAACAATCATCAAGCTCTGTCACGATGGCAAGTATTTGATCTGTTCCCGGGAATACTTTTACGTAAACATTCCACCCAAAAATCAATGAAGTAATATAATTTTTATCCATTTCAAAAACAATAGGTTATATAGAAGCTATCCTAAAAAAGATGGGTCTTAGACTTATGTTCTTACAGGATAACATGATACATGGTGTTTGCACCGTACTGAAGATACAATTCAAGAAGCAATTCAAGTGGACCTTCTAGAAGCAACACCAAAAAGCTGAAACTCCACTAGACCCTTTTTTTTCTTTCAATGAACTTTATTCCACTTGTACAATGCATTCTACTTTACACCAACCTAGGCTCAGCTCCTCTTCCTTTGAGAAGTTTAACACCAGAAGGGGCTTTATCATCTTATACATTTAAGCCTTTTCCAGAGTAAATGCATCAGAGAATGAGCAGCGTCTAATGAGTGGCGTCATGCACAGTACGTTGTATATGCTGAATAAAATTATAGAAAAAAAAAAAAAAAAAAAAAAAAAAAAAACAAGAATCTAGCCGAGGCGTGGCCTTTTCATTCTTTTAGTTTAAATGTTTGACCAGAAGATGGATCCAGTGTGGCCAATGCACCCACGTGGCTGATGGTGAGGCCACAAGTTTGCCAACAGTGGTACCATCTGAAATGGTTTCTGAGGACCTTTAAGCAACTCTAAAAGTCTGCATGAAATAGTTTGATATGTCACAATATACAGCAAATGCAAAAAAGCTCCATCTTGTATCATAAAGGGCTGTTGATCTCTATTCAAATTACTTTGGCGAGATAGTGTCAACAGTCACCACGAAGCATTGCCTTGTTGACCTCTCCCTCAATTACGAATCTGAAACACTGTACCTTTGTAGCAAGACAAAAAGGAGAGAAGTTGAAGCAGTGGCTAATTACTTAGCACACACTTAACATCTTGGGTTAGATACACTTTAAAGGCAGATTCCACACATAAATGAAATGTGAGATTTGGGTGGCTGCTGGGGAATGACTCACTAAGTGGTTTGCAACTATCTCTCAGGATCTGCAGTTAGGAGTTTGCCATTATGCAGTTCCTTGGTTTACCTCCGTCTGTGATGACTCAGGGGTCCAGCAACTAAAGTGTTACTAAACCCACAACAGTAAAATCAGTCTGTATATGCAGTAAAGCATGTTTGTTATACTCACTGTGCAATCTAAGGGGTTAATCCTCTGCATTGTGTAAAAATGCGGTTTGATCCTGATTTCTCTGATCCTCCCCTTCTTCCAGTGTTCCCCTCTTATCTCCTGATAAGACATATTGTGTGGAGTCACTCTGCACATGTTCAGTTAGGTGTGTATTGCTAGAGAGGTTTTTTTTTTTTTTCTTGGGAGTGTGCATGTGATCAGCACAGGGCTAATCAGCACTGTCCAGACAGAGGTCAGGGGTCCTGCATACTACTAGGGGACAATGAAAACTCCTCCTACAAGCTTTAACATGTGCTCTGCTGGACACTGATAGAAGTCACAAGACTGCTCTGTTGATGAGAAAAGGTATTTTGCAGTTTATACTTACTAAAAAAAACTGCATTTCCAGGTTGTGTGTACTGTGGGAGACCAGATACAGTGAATGCTGGGTCCTGGGGTTAGTAACACTTTAATTTCTGCCTCACACTCCTAGTGGTAAATGAAGGGAAGTCCCAGCAGGACTTCGAGTGAGAACCAAGAACTTAGGCAGTCTTCCAGTCAAACAATTGGTGAATGAAGTGGTTAGTGTCCAACCAAAGCAGAACTCCAGCTTTTAGAACCCCTTCCCTCCAGTCTTTTAGACATTCCAATGACATCACCAGTACTTCTGGTGATGGGGAAGAGCATTCTTCCAGGATTGAACAGTGCTTATGTAATTGGAGTACTGTTAGCCTCACAAGAAAAGGGTAAAATGACAAGTGTCCTTCTGTCCAAAAGAGCACTGCCAATGCTGACAGAGAAGGGGTTGGGAACAATGCTGGAGCATGGAGAGGGTAAGTGGAGATGGGCAAGATTTACTTTTTTTCTAATATGGAGAAGTGAAGGGAATTCTGAAAAATTAAATGAAAAGAAAAAAAATTAAAAGAAAAAAAAAAAAAAACCTTGCATGGAGTTCTGCTCTAATTGGGTATCAATTTTGCATTAAGGTTTAGCCCAGGGGTGGGCAAACTTTTTGACTTGAGGGCCGCAATGGGTTCATATATTGGACCCGGGGGCCGGACCAAGAGTAGATGAATGATGTGTATGTGTCATCCATAGTAAGTATAGTAATATTCCCCCATAGTAAGCATAGTAATTCATCCCCCATATAGTAATTCATCCCCCCTATAGTAATTCATCCCCCCTATAGTAATTCATTCCCCATATTATTTCATCCCCCATATAGTATTTCATCCCCCATAGTACTATCCCCCCCCCAAGTAGTAAGCCAAGTCCCCCGTGTCAATTCACTTACCTTTGCTCCGCGCGTTCCTCTCGCCGTGTTCCCGCGCCGTTCCGGTCTTCAGGGCGGACTGTGAGAGGAGCCTAGCTCCACTCACGTTCGTCACGCTGCCCCGCCTACACACATCCTGACAGCCAATGTATCCCGTGCCGTTCCGGTCTTCAGGGCGGACTGTGAGAGGAGCCTAGCTCCCCTCACGTTCGTCACGCTGCCCCGCCTACACACATCCTGACAGCCAATGTATCACGCTCCGCGGGCCGGATTAAAAGGTCCGCCGGGCCGTAGTTTTGCCCATTGCTGGTTTAGCCCATATTTCTTTAGATCCTCGATGAAGTTAAATCCAATGTTTGGAAGAAACGAATAACAGAAAACTCAGCAAAAGGGGCATAACTTACAGATAGTATGACATGTCCCTTGTCCTAATTATTCTGCTTTCAGTAGAAATCTTCAGGACACATGAGGACGGAGAGGATAAAATAAACTCATTACTTTGCTGCATGTTCTTTAAAGTAGAACTATAGGCAAACCTTTTTTTTAAATTTTGGATAGAGTAAGAAAGTTTAAAACCAGAGTCATCTTATTTCACCATCTGTGTCCCATTGGGGAAATTTAACTTCACTCCTTGTCCCATAGCTAAAACAGGAAGGGAGAAAATCTCTGCAAATGGAGGGTATTCCTTTGGGATCCCCAGGTCACCAGAAGTAGTATCCCCATTGGAAAATTTCCCACCTACTACTTTTTTGGGAACACATTAAAATTTGGGGTTTCTTTTATTTTCACTTTTCATAACTGTAAATGGAGAAAGAGTGAATTTACCTAACGGAGGTGTTCTAATTCATCTCCACTCTGTCCAAAACTAAAAAAAGTTTTGATTTTAGTTATACCTTAACCACAGGCTGGGCTGGGTCCATTATGACATGTGCTCATAGGAATCGAATGAATGATGATAGATACAGTGGGGCAAAAAAGTATTTAGTCAGCCACCAATTGTGCAAGTTCTCCCACTTAAAAAGATGAGAGAGGCCTGTAATTGGCATCATAGGTAGACCTCAACTATGAGAGACAAAATGAGAAAAAAAATCCAGACAATCACATTGGCTGATTTGGAAAGAATTTATTTGCAAATTATGGTGGAAAATAAGTATTTGGTCAATATCAAAAGTTCATCTCAATACTTTGTTATATATCCTTTGTTGGCAATGACAGAGGTCAAACGTTTCCTGTAAGTCTTCACAAGGTTGGCACACACTGTTGCTGGTATGTTGGCCCATTCCTCCATGCAGATCTCCTCTAGAGCAGTGATGTTTTGGGGCTGTCGCTGGGCAACACGGACTTTCAACTCCCTCCAAAGGTTTTCTATGGGGTTGAGATCTGGAGACTGGCTAGGCCACTCCAGGACCTTGAAATGCTTCTTACGAAGCCACTCCTTCATTGCCCGGGCGGTATGTTTGGGATCATTGTCATGTTGGAAGACCCAGCCACGTTTCATCTTCAATGCCCTTGCTGATGGAAGGAGGTTTGCACTCAAAATCTCACGATACATGGCCCCATTCATTCTGTCCTGTACATGGATCAGTCGTCCTGGTCCCTGTGTGGAGAAACAGCCCCAAAGCATGATGTTGCCACCCCCATGCTTCACAGTAAGTATGGTGTTCTTTGGATGCAACTCAGCATTCTCTCTCCTCCAAACACGACGAGTTGTGCTTCTACCAAACAGTTCTATTTTGGTTTCATTTGACCATATGACATTCTCCCAATCCTCTTCTGGATCATCTAAATGCTCTCTAGCAAACCTCAGACAGGCCCGGACATGTACTGGCTTAAGCAGGGGGACACGTCTGGCACTGCAAGATCTGAGTCCCTGGCGGCGTAGTGTGTTACTAATGGTAGCCTTTGTTACATTGGTCCCAGCTCTCTGCAGGTCATTCACTAGGTCCCCCCGTGTGGTCCTGGGATTTTTGCTCACCGTTCTTGTGATCATTTTGACCCCACGGGGTGAGATCTTGTGTGGAGCCCCAGATCGAGGGAGATTATCAGTGGTCTTGTATGTCTTCCATTTTCTAATTATTGCTCCCACAGTTGATTTGTTCACACCAAGCTGCTTGCCTATTGCAGATTCAGGTCTACAAATTTTGTTTCTGATGTCCTTCAACACCCCTATTGTCTTCACCATAGTGGCGTTTGGAGTGTGACTGTTTGAGGTTGTGGACAGGTGTCTTTTATACTGATAACAAGTTCAAACAGGTGCCATTGATACAGGTAATGAGTGCAGGACAGAGGAGCCTCTTAAAGAAGAAGGTACAGGTCTGTGAGAGCCAGAAATCTTGCTTGTTTGTAGGTGACCAAATACTTATTTTCCACCATAATTTGCAAATAAATTCTTTCCAAATCAGCCAATGTGATTGTCTGGATTTGTTTTCTCATTTTGTCTCTCATAGTTGAGGTCTACCTATGATGCCAATTACAGGCCTCTCTCATCTTTTTAAGTGATAGAACTTGCACAATTGGTGGCTGACTAAATACTTTTTTTGCCCCACTGTATCAGACTAAAGTAAACTAGCAATGGAAAGAAAGTACCGCGTGGAAAAGGGATGGGGGGGGGGGGGGTGGCTCTGCATTCATGATAAATATTGCAGAAACAGTAAAATTAATTAATTAAAGTGGTTTAAAAGTCAAACTTTTTTTTTTTACCTTAATGCACTCTCTACATCAAGGAAAAAAAATCCACAATATTGGTCCCCCTCAAACACTTACCTGCCTCCTCTCACAATCCAAAGCTAGCTGTCCTGGCTACTGCCCCACTCTCCCCCCTCTTCCTGATCTCACAGGAGACACAGGCAGCAGCGGGAGACAGACTTCTGCTGCTGTCAGTCAAATTCTGTGTGGCGGGAGTGGCCGAGACATGCTGTAAGTGTCTATGGAAGCACACAGCCCAGCAGGGAAGGAGGAGTGGAGAGGACTCCAGAAGAGGAGGTAAGAGACCACTCTGTGCAATATCATTGCATAGGGCAGGTAAGTATATCAATCAAAAAAAATTGCCTTTACATTCACTTTACTCTTTTAAATGGGATATCCATTTTTATTTTGTTATTTTTGGCTGGAGTTCTGCTTTAGCTTGAAATTTTCTTAGAATGTTGACATCTAGAAACTTTATATGCTTTAAAACCCAGTCAAATTGCATTTTTACAGACCTGGGAGACCAGCAAATACAAACTTACAGCTTCCAGCGTAATGTCAGCTTGCATTTTTTACAGGCCTGGGAGACCAGCAAATACAAACTTACAACTTCCAGTGTAATGTTTAGCTTTTCACTGCCTTTGAAGATTTAGTGTACAGAGTATTATTACTGACGACATTAGTTAAAACTTCATGCAATAGTAAGATTGGCGTGCATGTCCGTAACTTAAATGAATTATCTAATGCCTCCCTGGGGGGGAAGAAAAATGTCAAACATCTTTAGGCAATGCATCTTCTCTTACAAAATCTTCTTGTCACAAGACTGGGAGCACTGGAGTAAAAATCACTGCATAACATTTTTCAGATAAGGAACGCTGTGATGTCATCGGCGAGGAATTAAAGAAAAGAGAACACGGTAACCAAACAAACACATAGCAGGGAAATTAAAAAAAAAAAAAAAAAAAAGGAACATGTCGTGTTCTTACTTTTTCAGCATATGGTAAACTGTGATCTGTATGGCTCTCTCCCGGTGCAGCAAGAGTGGAGCCAGGGTATTTAGCAAGCTCTGCAAGCTGTCAGGGAGGTTAGTCTTCTGTCCAGCAACAAACTTGGCCGGGAGTTTTTTGTGGTCCAGCAGCTGTTCTTTTGAAATGTAACGCAGAGCTTCGCCCAGTGACTGCAACACAGGGCTCTGATAAGACATCTCTGTAGCCTTGCTCTCCCCTGCACAGAGTAAACAGAGGGAAAAAAAAAAAAGAAGAGGGGGGGGGGGGGGGGGGGGGGTCAAATTATTTCGAGAAGGAACATTCCACAGATGTACTAGTATTGTAGTCCATAAATTAGTGCAAGGACCAGTATGTGAAGATATTGGATTGCAGTCATACAAAGCCTTTTTTTTTTTTTTAGAAGACTAGAGCTTTTAGAAGGCAATGTGAAATATTTTAGCATACTGTAGAATTGCTAGTGAATGTATAAATAAAACAGAAAAATTACTTTGTGTGAACAGGCGTTAGCACTAACATATTATGCAGGGCGTGTTTTTCATGCATTTGTAAACGTTTGGACAGCAAAGATCAGATTAGTTTGGCAAGCCACAGACATGAAATGGTGTTTGAAAGATCAGATCACTGAAGATTTTTTTTTTTTCTTTTTATGAAACATCTCTCCCAAAGCTTTCATGATCGGCTTACACAAACATGTATACTTATGGAAAGAGTGAGCTTTCATAATGACAACCCAGGTGTATGCCTATCTCAGGATAAAAAAAAAAATAAATAAAAAACAGAGCCAGACCATGAAAACAATTTTTGGCCATTGTTTTTTTCGGGTCAACCAGACCCGAGTTGCCAAATTACAACAGCCACATTGGTAGATTAGTCCTTCCTTGTTGTGTAGATGGAGGAATCTGTTAGAATTTTTCCATTCAGTCTGCAGGCTGAAAGGAAAAAAAAGCTATGTGTATATGGGCAGCTGAATAGGTTCAGCAACATGTTATAACCATATTTAGGTAGCATATTGCAACGCTCCATCCCCCTGAGTCCTCACCTTCCCCAGTGACAGCAAGCAAGGGTTCCTCTCCCTTATATCTGTGAACAAATAAACCATGGAAGACAGTCTTGTAGTTCTCAATGGACTAAGAGGGCACTCTCATAGCCCAATGTCACTTCCTGCAGCTCAGTAACTGAGTCCACACAGGGGTACAGGCAGAGAGCTCTTGGAAGTGTCCTGGAAGGGTCTGACATTGCATCTGCGATCCACGGATCATGAGTGCTATGCTTTAGGGGCTACTGTGTATAAAAATAATGAATGCAATTTTGTTTGTCTTCAAAAACATGTGCATTCATTATTATTTTTTTTTTTTTTTTTTTTTTTACAAAGCTAAACTTATCCTTTAAGGTAAATCTTTGTTTGCCCACTGAGGGCAAAGTATCAGGTTTACTTTAATCCCCCATTTCTCCCAAAAATATACAGTACTTGTGATCAATTCAATTCTCTGCCACTCTGTTGTGTGTCAAGGTAATACCCACACAGGGCTTTCCTTTTCTCCTGGTGGTTGAGCAGGGTGTGGGGAAGCAAAAGAAAAGCATGCATTTGTTCTTGAGGAGTAAAATCAACTTTTTGCTTTGCATGCTTACTTTAAGGCTAAGAATGTATTAATTCTTTGCCTAGTATTTTTTTTTTGCAAAAGCATTATATAGTTTCTGTGTTCTAAGATGTTCTTGCAATAACCAGCATAAAAAAAAAAGACATTAAAAAAGGAAGATCCTGCCACCTTCCCCTTTCAAAAGGTAAATGGTCTTCCTCTGAGAGGAGATAAAATCTCAACTATGAGTTTCTTTACCATCTATGCTGCCAGCTTCCTCCTTTTCTGGTGGACATGTTGTAAATAGTCATTTGACTTCTGTACAGGTTTATAATTTGTCCTCTTATCAGTACCCCATGATGCTACACATGGTTAACCTTTCTTACAGGATGCTGCAAAGCAAAATCTGACCATACTACGTCCTGCCAACACCTGCCAGCTAAACCACCTTCAACTGAAAGATCAAGAGTCAGGTGGATAAAAGTCGGCCAAACAGTGACTATACTGTTCAGGTATTCTGTCAGAGCAAAGTAGCTGGCAGCAGATGATTTATCCATCCACAGTGTTTAGCACGAATGGGGGAATCTATGGATTTCCATAGAAAAAAACAACAAAGATGTCATAGTTACCTGCTCTGTACATCTAGGGGGCCCCAAACAGGCTCAAGGTACAGGTCGGAGCACCTGTCCCTGAGTACCTGTAAAGTTTGGCTATTTACATGTCGTTTACAGGCAGCTGAGTTTACAGTCGGTTTTTTGAACACACCAAACTTGCGTTCAAGAGCAGATTTTCAGTGTTTCAAACGCCAAGCGCTTGTAAACGTTTTGAAGCATTTGGAATTTTGTTTTTTTTAACTCTTCCATTTCCAGATTCTGTCCAGAGCCTTTTTTCCATCATGAAAAATGCATGCAAAGTGTTTTCCCGGTACTCAAATGTACTTGGAACACCATACTTTGAGGTTTCGCATGAAAGAAAATATGTTAGACACTGCTGCAATAATTTCTGCACAGAAATGAGTTGGAACACATCCAAACACCACACAAAAAAAAAAAAAAAAAAAAAAAGACAGCTAATCTCAACAAACACTGCTGCCTCTGCTTCTGCTCCATTTCTCTCAAAATGTCTGAAATAGTTCATTTTTTTACTGTTTTTCAGTGCATGCTGGAAAGTCTCCTAAGATTATCTTTAAAAAACGCTTCTAAACGCAAACGCGCATAAATGCAGTATGCAAACGTGGCTAAACAGACGATTTTTAACCTTCGTTTTCCAGCAGTCAGTTTTCATCATTCAAAAGGAATCCCGTGTACATGGAGCCTAAGGGTACAGCTCTATACAAGATTATGGGAGCTCACTCTGATGGATGGCCAACATTGAAGACGATTTTGGCCAGGAGAAGGTATTCAGTAAAGGAGGTCCCAGCTGTCAAGGCAAACAGTTGGGTGGGTGGTATCTAGTTAAGTTTATAGTGCGATGGAAGGTGGACCACTGCACTTTTCTAATGAATGTGAACTTGAAAGTGGAAGTAAAGGCAAATCTTAACTAACTCTAAACCTACTCTCAGACACATTCTAAGCCTAATCTATCTAGCAATGTAAAGAAAAAAAAAAAAATCTTACCTGTTCTGCAGCTGCTCCAGTCCGATCCCATGATAAGCTGTCTTCAGTGTGTAGGAGCGTGTAGGTGTGCGCAGGAGAGCCAGCTGACAATTGAAGACCTATAGTAACTCTATGGGCGATGTCATTTCCCAGCCATTGTCGGCTGTCTCCAGCACACAGAGGGTGCCACTGAAGACCAGACCAAAGCGGCTGCAGGAAAGGTTTTTTTTTTTTTTTTTTTTTTTTTTACAGAGATTAGAAAGTGGCTGAGCATAGGTTTAGAGTCAATTAGGATCTGTCTTTACTTCCACTTTAACCACTTCAAGTCTGGACACTTTCACCCCCTTCCTGTCCAGGCCAATTTTCAGCTTTCAGCGCTATCACACTTTGAATGACAATTGCGCGGTCATGCAACACTGTACCCATATGAATTATATAGCATTTTTTTGGTGGTATTTATTCACCACTGGGATTTTTATATTTTTGCTGTATAAATGAAAAAGTAAAAACATTTTGAAAATAAATAAATCTTTCTTCATAAATCTTGGCTAAAAAGTTTTCAGCTATCTTTTTAGTAAAAAAAAAAATAAATAAAATAAACCAAAATTAGTTTATAACCAAAAATTATAATTTTTAAAAAAAAATTACATTTTATTTTATGTTATTATTTATGTTTTTTTTTTAACATACTGTCACCCTAGCAATACAGTGTCACCATAGTGATACTATACTACTTGTGGGGGGGTGATGAAGATTTTTTTTTTTTTTTCACACTGATTGCTTTTACACCCATAAAAGGCTGGAAAAGCAATTATTTCTCCTTCTTTCTGGCTGCATTCTTGCAGCCATTGAGAAATACTGTGTGAGCTGTAATTGGTCACAGCTTGTCACATGGTACAAGGCTGTTGTGAGTAGCCTTGTACCATGTGACCTCTGATCATTCACAGATTTCACTAGTAGTAAGCAAGGATGTCAGCAAGTGACATCTTGCTTACTTCTATTCATGTGATCACTGATTGGCCAATCAGTGATCACATGATTGGGACCTCACACAGAGACCACGTACAGCGATCGGTGCCGAGCGCTCCAAGGGAGCACGCACAAGCAGGGAAGCGGGAGGATGTTTATAAACGGCCACCCGCTCCTGCACTGCTCCCATCCAGCCGTTTATATACATGGGCCGAACGGGAAGTGGTTAAGTTGTAATGGGCTGTCTTGTAGATGCTTTTTTCAATGTGACTGAGGAACGTTTCTATTTGAAAAAGGAACTCCCCTTTATCCAGAGCAGTGATGGAACCTACCTGCTATTTTAACCAGCACTGGTAACAATAAACTGTGAATGCCTTCGGAGAAGAACTCGTTCCATTCCGAGATAAGATTGCCGGGAAGCTTTTCAGCATTGCCCACAGTGACAGCTTGAACCTCATTGCACTCAGAGATAAGATTGGCGGGAAACTTTTCAGCATCGCCTGCAGTGACAGCTTGAAAATAGCCAGACAAATCCGATGCCAAGCTGCAACTTACGCAAGCAAATAGTCGAACAAGTGGTAGATGGTAGAGAGCAGAGCTGTCACACGCAGTCTGAGAATGTGGAAAGAGAAGAATATTTGATTAGACCAGAAAATAAGAAGAGAAGCTTTATTACAGCAGAATACTTCCAGCTTATCTGTAATTGAAGTAACCTGCAAAGCATTACACTTTAATAAGTAAATCAGAATAATCCCTATAATGACTACCAGAGGAATACAGAACACAGGATTCTGATTTATCTGTCACTGATCAGACCTGATCTCTGGGCATTTTATGCACGCAGAGACTTTTATGGACAAAAAATGTAAAACCCTTGTAACAAAATCAGGCAAATGTAAAGTGCGGGAGAGAGTTTGGTGGGACAACACTGCCCTCGAGAGGAAATCGGTTTTAACAGCAAATAATCAGGCTATAAAGGGCAAGATGAATTTCCAAGAACACCAGAAATCATGTGCAACTCTTAGTCATAACATAAATCCCAATCAATAGGACAATCTAGGAATATTTGTGTGTGTGATGCAATCAGGTTTTCCCGACTGCCATTTAGGCGTTTCCAAACAAGGCCCGGAGACATATGTATTAAACAGATGCTCAATGCAGACACCCCATTAATCTAAAATAAATTCTGCAAATTCTAAATACTTGGAATGAAGTTATCATTTAGCTGTAAAATGCATGATATGCATGAACTTGCGTATGTGCCAATAAAGATTGTACAGAGATCAGCAAATGCTTAACCAATTTTGAAGCTACGTGTGAAGTACAAACTTATAAAGCTAAAAAAATTTGTAGCTATGGATACTTAATATTTTGTGGGCCCATTCTAGTCACCGAGACATAAAAGAATGGGAAATTCAAAATTTAGGTTGTCAGCAGGCCACCCTCTTCCAGTGACACCTATCAGGAGAGCTCTGCTCACTTCCTTTGGATTTTCTGGGACTTAAAGTTAAAGATGAACTACAGGCAAATAGCAAAGTATGAAGATGAAATACATATATAAGAGCTGTTTTGCTCGCCAAAGGTTTTGTATTTTTCTATCCAGGTGTGAGACACAGCTTTGTTACACAGTACAGCCTGCCTAACAGGGAAGGGGATCTGATTTTTGTCTACTGCAGTTAAGTAACACTTAGGCCCCTTGCACACGGGGGGGGGGTCTAGCTTCTGTGCATGCAATCCCACCATTTAAGTGTACTCGGGAGGCACAGGTGCAATGTCAAGCCCTACTGCCTGCAGCCTGTCAAAGTCTATGGCAGGCCAAATGCTGTATTAAGTGGTACTCACATTTTGGGCTCTATGCATTCAGGGACAAATGCTCAGATCATAGAATACCTGCATTCTAGGCATTTGGCCCTGAACACATAGGGCCCTAAACAGGTGTACCACTTGCAAGTCTTGCTCCTGTGACTGGAAAGAGAAAGAAGGAGCAGACTGAGGAGCTCAGCTCTCACCACTCTGTTCTTTCTTCCTAGCAGCAAGCTCCTGATTAACATGAGCAATTTAGAACAACTGATTGGCTCCTTGTGCCGCTTCTCCTTCTCCCAGCCTGGACTGCAAAAGGCTGAAAGCCTGTAAAATTCAGGCACTTACAATGCTAGAATGTGAAAAATACATTTTAAGATTACTGAACAGTGATTTCCAATTAATTTGTGTCTTAAAGTGATTCTAAAGGCTTAATTTTTTTGTAAGAAAAAATAACAAACATGTCTCTACTTACCTGCTGTGTGCAGTGGTTTTGCACAGAGCAGCACAGATCCTCCTCTTCTCAGGTCCCATGCAGGCGCTCCTGGCCTCTCCCTCCTGTTGGGTGCCCCCACAGCAAGCAGCTCACTATGGGGGCACCCGCTGCTCCGTGTGTCCACTCACAGTTGGAGCTGTGGCTCGGCCCCACCCCTTCTCTTCTCATTGGCTGCGATTGACAGTGGTGGTAGCCAATGGCACCTGCCTCAGCCAATGAGAAGAGGGAGTCCCAGGATAGCCGAGATGCCAGTGCACATCGCTGGATCGAGAAGGGGCTTAGGTGAGTATTGGGGGGGGGGGGGGCTGGGGGGGGATACTGCACATAGAAGGTTTTTTACCTTCATGCAAAACTTTGAGCCTTTAGAACCACTTTAAGTCGGCCAGAGACGGTTGGAATATTGACCGGTTCAGCAGGAGCTGGCTGAGATTTGAACCATGTATGAGCAGGCTGAATGTACCCAAGTTGATCCATCAACTTGGGTAAAACCAGCCTGCTGGATTTTACATGCAGCGGGAGAACACAACGGCTCCACGGGTGGGTTTGCAATGTCAACCAATGGTTGCAGGAAATAAATTTGCTCCATCTATGGCCAGCCTTAGATCAGAAATCTTTGCAAGCTCTATATGAAACATAAAAAAAAAAAAAAGTTTTCTCTATACATACACCAAGTTACCTAATTTAAAAAAAAATTGTTTATGACAATCACATTGTGGATGTGAAATGAAAAAAAGAAGTGGAGCCCAAAGACACCAGTCAGAGTACAAGTGACAATCTAGCCTCTAAAACAAAAACATAAATCAATACCTGATTGGCTGTCCCTGCCCCCTCCAAGCTCTTCTTTTCATCCAATGTTCATGTCCCACTGTGCTACCATAAACTTTGGCAGTTTGACGATACAAGAGAAATAGAGAGGCTGCCAAAATCAGAACACCAAAAAAATGCTCCCTATCGTGCTTATCCTTTGACTTCACTTATGGCATACAATTTTAGAAAGTATTGAAGTCAAACTCCAGATCTAAATGTCTGCTCCCCACCAGTGATGCTTAAAGTACTGATGAAAAGGCGGCCAACATTACAACCAGGCAGCCCACGTTTAGGAAGAGATAAGCAACGTATTCCCATCATGATAGGCTTCCTTTATAATGTATCTATATAGCCCAAACTATTTTTGATAAGTGACCCTGTAAGTTTTTTTTCTTATGTGTCACACGGGGGAAGGGGGGATTCACTTCTTCATTTCCTGTCCCAGAGAAACAACAGGAACATTGTTTTAACCACTTTAATCCAGGACATTTTGATACGTTCAGTGGACATGACATGGTTAAGGAGAAACCTAACCACACACTACAAGGTTACTTAGTCTGTGGCTTTGCTGAATGATGTTCCAGCACTTGGGGGAGTGACACGAAGCACATTCACACAACAATAAGAGGAAGGAATGCCAGCTTGTTAACTTACCTCTAACCACGCCAGCATGGAACACATGATAAAGTCCCATTCAGCATCCCCCAGAGAGGGTAATGTGGAGGAGGGATATTTTAGCAAGGCAGAAATAAATCTTATTATCTCAACATTCAGCCCAATCGACTCTGGATTAACATTCTGCAAACTGCTGGGAGAAAAAAAAAAAAAAAAAAAAAAAAAAGGATATTTTGGTATATGAATCCACTAAATATAACAGTGACAATGTCAACATAATTTTGACATTCTAGCACAGTCTTATTTAAAATGTCAATTTAGTTTATCATATTTTTTTAAAGCCGATTTTCTAAATCGTTTCCAACTTGTTAGCCCTGAGAAGCCATTTTCTCCCACCACAGATCACTGCTAGAAAGGCCCTTTTGACATCTAATTGCATACATTGTACACGTTTGTTTGCTTATGTATATTGTGTGTGAATATTGTGAATCAATGCCGCGCTTGTGAAAATTATCCAACCAATTGTGAAAATCTATAGTGTAACAGGCATAGACCGGCAAAGAACTGGCCCATGCGAAGACCGGACTCTCAGACTGAGCAAGGGGAAGCAGAGGAACCCAAGGAAGAGGCAAGGTTGCAGTAGGAGGAAAGAGATACACAGGATGAAACCTGAAAAGGAGGTGCAGGCTAGAGACAGGAGCCTCAGTGTGCTTTGTTCCCTTTTCATCTGACCCCTGAAGAAGTGCTATCAGTGCAGAAACATCTAGAGACAGAGTGATCTACTCTACAGCCATCATCACCCAGCTTGGGGATTTTGTGGCCTGCATTGCATCCACCACCAACCAGTCTGCTATAACAGTTGTCAAGCTACTGACAGGAAGGCATCCAAACGACATCTTTGTGCTGTATGCGGATTGAATGCGGATTTACACTATAGATTTTCACAACTGGTTGGATAATTTTCACAAGCGCATTCATTCAAAATACTTATTTGCCTTACATTATGTGCTATCACCTATATACATACATATTTATTCACTGTACTCTTTATCACTATAATGTGTGTGATTTTTAAAAAAGTTTTCATGATACAGATGCTCTAAAAATCACACAAAAAAACAAAAGGGAATTATAGACTTAAGCAGAAATTCTATTAAAACTCACATGGCCACTCACATAGTAGGAGAGAACGCATTTCTGAGCATGGCCAAAGCCACCATCGGGGCATGCATGTTCCTTTCTCATGCTCATGCTCAAGAAAGACAGGAAAGCTCATAGTGTAAAACCATAAAACACGTATTTATTATTTTAAAAAAGTAATCTAGCCACTCACAAATAAAAACATGTAAAAGGGCTTGTAAAAATATAAATGCTGATCCTGGGAGACTATCCGGTCCTCTTCCTCATTACGGACTGCGTGGTGATGTCACCAGTACAAGCTCTTCCCTACGCATTTCGTCACAACTGACGTCATTGGGTGCCGCCAGCGACGAGGAAGTGGACCAGATCTTTTTGTAATAAATGTGTTTTACACTATGTGAGCTTCCCTGCCTTTTTTTCATGTTACAGTTGGCAATTTCATACTACCGAATATGTTGTCTCATTGTCTCACTCCACCCAGTAACTCACCGCCCATGAGATTGCCAACCACTTCAAAAACAAGATTGATGCAATTCATAGGGACTTCACTGCTGCTCAGACACCCACCCCACTGAGCACTCCTCACACAATAACCCCCTCAACACTTTGCTCCCTTGACCTCACTACCACTGAAGAGGTCACTAAGATTTTCTCCGAAGCCCGCCTCACCACCTGCCCCCTATCCCCTGACAACTCCTGTGGTCCTCCTCCTCTTCCATCCTATGCTCCTTCACTCACATCTTCAATCTTTCCCTCTCCACCGGTACCTTCCCCTCCCCTCTGAAGCACACGCACATCACTCCCATACTTAAGAAACCCTCCCTGGACCCCTTCGACCTGAACAACCTAAGACCCATCTCCCTACTGCCATTTACCTCTAAACTCCTAGAACGCTTAGTCTACAAATGCCTGAGCTCCCATCTCACAGACAACAACCTTCTCGACCCTTTACAGTCTGGCTTCCGCCCCCTACACTCCACCGAAACTGCCCTACTCAAACTCACCAATGACCTACTAACCGCCAAAACCAATGGCCACTATACTATATTCCTACTACTTGAAATCTCTGCGGCTTTTGACACGGTTGACCACCCCCTCCTCCTCAAAAAACTGCACTCTTGGCCTCAGAGACTCCGCTCTCTCCTGGTTCTCCTCCTATCTATCGCAGCGCTCCTTTAGTGTTACCTATAACACTGCCACCTCCCCTTCACTCCCTCTCTCTGTCGGGGTCCCTCAAGGCTCGGTCCTCGGACCCCTCCTCTTCTCCATCTACACTTCCTCCCTTGGCCAATTGATAAACTCCCACAGCTTCAACTACCATCTCTATGCCGACGACACACAAATCTCTCTAACCCTCACCTCACCCCCTCAGTCTCCAATCGCATTACCAGCCTACTAAGTGACATATCGGACTGGATGTCACTCCACTTCCTCAAACTCAACCTTTCCAAAACTGAGCTTCTAGTATTCCCCCCGAGCCCGTGACCCCCCTGACTTCTCCATCAAGATCAACAACACTACCATCAGCCCCACCCCTCACGCCAGGATACTAGGTGTAATCCTAGACTCCAATCTGTCCTTTCAGGCCCAGGTCCAATCATTGACAAACTCCTGTAGACTTCACCTCCACAACAACTCCAAGATACGACCGTTGCTAACCACGGAAACCACTAAGCAACTCATTCACTCCCTTGTCATAACACGCCTCGACTACTGTAACTCCCTCCTCACTGGCCTACCTCACCGCAGGCTATCCTCACTACAGTCTATCATGAATGCTGCCAGACTCATTCACCTTACTAACCGCTCTATATCTGCCACCCCTCTCTGCCAATCCCTCCACTGGCTCCCAATTGCCCAATGGACAAAATTCAAAACACTAACACTGACATATAAAGCCGTTCATAACACTGCCCCAAATTACATCACCGACCTTGTCTCTAAATACCACCCAAACCGTACTCTCCGCTCCTCGCAAGACCTCCTACTCTCTAACTCCCTTGTCTCCTCCTCCCATGCTAGTCTCCAGAATTTCTCAAGGGCTTCACTCTCTGGAACTCCCTACCCCAAGCTATCAGGCTATTGCCAGTGCCTACTCTGCTCACCTTTAGGCGCACTATGAAAACCCATCTCTTCAGGGAAGCCTACCCCGACCCCAGCTAATACTGGAATCAACTACTCCTACCACTCCATCCCCCATAGCTAATTACCTCTTGTACCACTATCCCATCCCTCCTAGATTGTAAGCTCCAAGGAGCAGGGCCCTCTAATCCCTCTTGTATTGAACTGTATTGTTACTGTATTGTCTCCCACTATAATGTAAAGCGCTGAGCAAACTGTTGGCGCAATATAAATCCTGTATAATAATAATAATATAATAATAATAATTATTGAGCATATGGAGAGACATGGAGGCGATATCAATCTTAATGGTTTTATGTGATGATGTGGAGGAAATAATGGGTCAGTTGCAGATGATTTATTAAATCACACACTCTCCTGACTCTCTCTTTAACAAGAGTCCACTTTCCAGTAAGAGGCCTTTAAGCCTGTGGTGGAGGTACACTCTGGTGCTGGAAGGTTGTTGAAAAGCAAGGACTTCTTCACTATAGCATTTATGATTTATAACACATTTGGGACTTTATCTCTGTATTTTTTACATAATTTCCTTTGGTTATATGAATCACTTTGAAAATTATGCATTTATGATTTGTTGTTTGTCTTTTTATATAGCACAGCAATATAATATATAGAAGTTTGTAAACAATCCATCTAATTGTTCTTGCCAGCTGCTCTCTTTAGATCTACTAGCTGATCTTTGTGTGCATAGTACATATAATAGGTTGCGTGGACCTTCAAAGTCTGAAATGTAAAAAAAAAAAAAAAAAAAAACCCAAAGAACTCAGGGTCCAATAAAGTCAATCATTCCAGCATGGTACCCTGCAGATTATTCTGGGAAAAGTTTATCTGTTGCTTGGTTTGTGCCCACTATATAATAATTAGTGCCAGTTTGTAATCACTTACCTGCTGAAAAGGAAGAGCTCTTCATGCTCGTTCTTCCAAGAGAAAATTATTTTCAACACTCCAGGAAGAAAGTCGGGAGAAGGAGGGGACTCAGAATCCAGGCAAGAATTAATAATGGCAAGATAACCAAATCCCCCTGGGAATGGAAATAAAAGAAAGTTGCAAAATTCAATCTATAAAGGCATTACCTTACAAAACAGGACCATTTATGGAATAAAGCGGTCAGACAAAAAGGAATGATTTCATTCAAGAACAAACCTCAGACAACTGACCAAGAAAAAAACTGAAGCAGAGCAGTAACTATTGTTTAAACCAGCAGTGTTAATTTTTTTTTTTTTTTTTAGGCAAAGCAGTATTAAACCCAAAATAAAACATTTACTATATTGCATCTTACCAAATCTTAGATGTGATGGCTGAATTAGTTTACTTTTTAGGCTCTCTTTTAATTAAACCAGGCGATCGTAAGTCTGTTTTTTAAAAGAAAAAGCTCTCCTGCAGATGTAGCAGTGACAGGGATGAGACAAACCATTCAACACTGACAGGAGTGCTTACAACCATCAGCTTTTATTTGAACACTAACACTCTCCTCCACTCCAGATTAACAGTGCTGCTGTCCAAAAGTCCCTCATGTGGTCCTTCATCCATAGAAGCTTCAGTATGATACAGGAGGTGTGTTACTGACCACCAAGAGAAAACCGTGGAAAAAGTCTAAAAAGAAAAATAAAGCAGCCACCACATCTAATGATTGGTTAGCTGCAATAGATTACATTTTTGGTTTTGGGTTTAATACCGCTTTAGCTAGTTTTATTTACCTTAAAAAAAAAAAAATAATAATAATCAGCAATTGTTTACATAAAAACGTATAAGTAGAGTATTTGCCATTTTATCTTTCTGTTGACACAAAATACGAAAATACAATTGTATTTCAAAGTTTCTTCTTCTGTAGAACATCAATACAATTTTTTTAAATTCACAGAATCATTCTACAGGCAACAGGTCTATAATCCCTGGTTCTTTCAGAGTGTATGGATTTATAGGATTGCATAACCAAATAAACAAATTTTAAAAAGAAAATGTATATTGCAAATGGTTTAGTTTTTCCTCCATGCTTCACATATTGTCGTATGTGTTCCCTATTTTTAAATTAGCTTTTCAGAGGGTATTATCCTATTTACCAGATATTGAAAGTTAATAAAACTAAACAGAACCTTCCGCATTATGGTCACAACAAACCCTAAATAAAAATCAGAAACTAAAAAAAATAAATAAAAAAAAAAAGGTTATTTCGACTGCTGCTCTATAAAACAGTAATAATCCTACAAAATAAATAAAAGCAAACATAACTTTATACAATTGCTGAAGAATTATACATTTAGCCGTATTATACAAAACCCTCCAAGTATGGTGTATTGATTTATATTGCATTTGAGTGATTTGGGCACTATTCAGCAGCTTGATATTTGGAGGGTATTTACAGTGCTTTGCAAAAGCAATCATACCCCTGGAAATTTTGTCATGTTACAACCAATAATCTAAATGTATTTTATTGAGTTTTTATGTGATAGACCAACACAAAGTGGCACATAATTGTGAAGTGGAAGAGAAATGATAAATGTTTTTTACATTTTTTTTACAAATAAATATCTGAAAAGTGTGGTGTGCATTTGTATTCAGCCCCCTTTACTCTGATACCCCTAACTAAAATCTAATGGAACCCATTGCCTTCAGAAGTCAGCTAATTAGTAAATAGAGTCTACCTGTGTAATTTAATCTCAGTATAAATACAGCTGTTCTGTGAAGCCCTCAGAGGTTTGTTAAGAGAACATTAGTGAACAAACAGCATCATGAAGGCCATGGAACACACCAGACAGGTTAGGGATAAAGTTGTGGAGAAGTTTAGAGCAGGGTTAGGTTATAAAAAAATATCCCAAGCTTTGAACATCTCACAGAGCACTATTCAATCCATCATCCAAAAATGGAAAGAGTATGGCACAACTGCAAACCTACCAAGACATGGCCGTCCACCTAAACTGATAGGCCGGGCAAGGAGATCATTAAATCAGAGAAGCAGCCAAGAGGTCCATGGTAAATCTGGGGGAGCTGCAGAGATCCACAGCTCAGGTGGGAGAATCTGTCCACGGGACATTAGTTGTGCACTCCACAAATCTAGCCTTTATGGAAGAGTGGCAAGAAGAAAGCCATTGTTGAAAGAAAGCCATAAGTCCGGTTTGCAGTTTGCAAGAAGCCATGTGGGGGACACAGCAAACATGGGGAAGAAGGTGCTCTGGTCAGATGAGACCAAAATTGAATTTTTTGGACTAAAAGCAAAACGTTATGTGTGGCAAAAAACTAACACTGCACATCACTCTGAATATACCATCCCACCGTAAAACATGGTGATGTCGGCATCATGTTGTGGGGATGCTTTTCTTCAGCAGGGACAGTGAAGCTGGTCATAGTTGATGGGAAGATGGATGCAGCCAAATACAGGGCAATCTTAGAAGAAAACCTGTTCTAGTCTGCAAAAGACTTGAGACTGAGGCAGAGGTTCACCTTCCAGCAGGACGACGACCCTATATATTCAGCCAGATCTACAATGGAATTGTTTAGATCAAAGCATATTCATGTGTTAGAATGGCCCAGTCAAAGTCCAGACCTAAATCTAATTGAGAATCTGTGGCAAGAAATGAAAATTGCTGTTCACAGACGCTCTCCATCCAATCTGACAGAGCCTAAGCTATTTTGCAAAGAAGAATGGGCAAAAAGTTCACGTTCTAGATGTGCTCGAAAAGACTTGCAGCTGTAATCGCAGAGAAAGGTGGTTCAACAAAGTATTGATTCAGGGGGGCTGAATACAAATGCATGCCACACTTTTCAGATATTTCACAATTATATGACAAAATGTGGAAAGGGGTATGAATACTTTTTCAAGGCGTGTGTATCTATCTCAAATCAATATATTATACAGGGATGGCCAAAAATACTGGCACCCCTGCATTTCTGTCAGATAATGCACCACTTCGCTCAGAAAATTGTTGCAATTAAAAATGTTTAGGCACTCATGTTTATTTCCTTTGTTTGTATTGGCATGACACAAAAAAGAGGAGCGATAAAAAGCCAAATCAGACACATTCCACCCAAAACCCCAAACATGGACTGGACAAAAATTATTGGCACCCTCAATTTAATATTTGGTAGCACACCCCTTGGAAGAAATAACTGAAATCAATCACTTCCTGTAACCATCAATGAGTTTCTTACATCTCTCTACTGGAATTTTGGACCACTCTTCTTTCGTCAACTGCTCCAGGTCTCTCAAATTGGAAGGGTTCCTTTTACCAACTGCTGTTTTGAGATCTCTCCACAGGTACTCTATGGGATTGAAATGTGGACACATTGCTGGTCAGTTCAGTACTCTCCAGCGCTTTGTCTGAAACCATTTCTGGGTGCTTTAGGTCATTGTCCTGCTTTAAGACCCATGACCTCTGTCGGAGACCTAACTTATTGACACTGGGCCCAACAATGCAACCCAGAATTCTCTGGTAGTCGTCAGATTTCATAATGCCTTGCACACGGTCAAGATTCCACTGCCTGAAACAGCAAACAACCCCAAAACATCAGTGGAACCCTCATCATGCTTGACTGTAGGGACTGTATTCTTTTCTTTAAAGGCCTCATTGCTTTTTCTGAAAACAGTAGAATGACCGGCTTTACCAAAAAGCTGTAATTTTGTTTCATCTGTCCACAGCACATTCTCCCAAAAGGATTTTAGCTTTCTCAGGAAAGTTTTGGCAAATTCCATTCTGTCTTTTTTATGTTTCTGTGTCAGCAGTGGGGGACCCCTAAGTCTCCTATTATGGCATCCCTTTTCATTCAGACTGAAACGTATAGTGCAAAACGGACACAGTTGTTTGAATCGTGTATAAAAAACCTCGATCAACTTCCAGAAAAATTTAAGGTGACCTTCAGGCAAAGGGAACAATCTTTCATTGCAATTTTTGATCAAGTTTTTCTCTTTCGACCACGTCCAGGGAGATTAGCTACAGTAAACCATGGGCTCCAAACGTCTTGACAGTGTTGTGCACAGTGGACACAGAAACATTAACATCTGTTAACTGATACAGGTGAGTTTAATTACAAATTACAGGAGCATCACAAATTTCGAATGCAATTATCTCTTACAATTTTGCGAAGGTGCCAATAATTTTCTCCAGTGTTTTTGGATGGAATGTGTCAGATTTGGCTTTTTGTTTCTGTTTCTCCACTTTGTGTCATACCAATATAAACAAAAGAAATACATATAAAAGGCCTAAACATTTCTAACTGCAATAATTTTCTGGGCGAAGTGGTGCATGTTTGGCTATGACTGTGTGTGTGTTTATATATTTCAAACACACACACTCTTCAGCTCTGTATAACTACTTGGCAACTGCACTCAGGGTACCCGAGAAGGATAGGATCAGGCTGTTCTGTGCAAAAACACTGCACAGAGCAGTTAATTATAGACATGTTTGCTATTTTTTCTTTGAAAAAATAAGCCCTTAAAATCAATTGTGTAATCAATTAATTGTAACAGGTTTGTTATTTTTAACCACTTACCGGGCACTTTTACCCCCTTCCTGCCCAGGCCAATTTTCAACTTTCAGCACTGCTGCACTTTGCATGACAATTGCACGGTCATGCAACACTGTACCCATATGGAATTTATATCTTTTTTCCACACAAATGGAGATTTATTTTGGTGGTATTTAATCACCACTGGTTTTTTTTTTTTTTTTTTTTTTGCACTATAAATGAAAAAAGGACAAAATGTTTGTTTTTTTTTTTAAAAAGCATTTTTTATTCATTTCCGTTCTGAAATTTTGCAAATAAAAAAAAAAATCTTTCTACACAAATTTAGGGCAAAATGTATTCGGCTACATTTCTTTGGTGAAAATAACTCAATCTGTGTTTATTATTTAGCTGATAGGAAAGTTATAAAGTCCACAAACTGTGGTATATCTAAACATCTCATTTCTTGAGGCCCAAAAATGCCAGGACAGCACAACTACCCCCCAAATGACCGCTTTTCGGAAAGTAGACAGTCTGAGGTATTTACTAAGAGGCATGGCAAGTTTTTTAAAATATTTTTTGTCATAATTCTATGGGAAAATGGAAAAAAAAAAATTCACAATTTTTTTTTACATACGGTCACCAATGCCGTACAGCATCATCATACAACTGGTGTAGCGGTGATCAGACACTGATGGGCAACAGTACATTAAAAAAAAAAAATTTTTTTTCATTGTTTTATGATTTTTTGTTTCTACACCTGTGACCAGAGCAATACAATGTTACATTGTATTACTCTGGGCAAGTGATGATTTTTTTTTTTTTTTTTTTTTACACATTATGATTGCTTATACCAACAAATTGTATTGGTATAAGCAGTATAAGCAAGCATTTTTACTGAAGGAAAATCATTCAGTAGTTTTTGTTGTGATCAGCTGTGATTGGCCCAGTCTGTAGATATGACCACTGTGACCAATCACAGCTAGCAGCGCAGTTGTAAGCAATGAATGGCACGAAAGGAACCCATTCATTCTTTACAACTGTCATGTAATCTATTGTGATTGGTCACAGCGATCATATGACACTCGCAGTGGGCCGGTGTAGTGATTGGTCATCGGCCGTGTCCAGTGGACATGACCGGTGACAGAGAATGGCACGTGAGGCGCGATCTTGGGAGGACTTTGTATGACCAGAACTGGACTCAGTACACCAAATGAGAACTAAAGAGCTATATAGGGAAATTTGGACCTCCTTCCTCCTGTTCATGATCCGAGGTACCATGGGATATGTAGTCCAATTAAGTTAATTCAAAGAATAAGCAGAGAAGCAGCAAAACATGTAGGAAGTCCAGGAATTTGCGGGAGGAGATGGTTAACAGACAGGCAGAACTCGGAATATGGAAGGAGATTTTTCACGTAAGCTTGGTCATACACCTATATGTGGTACAGTTAAAGTTTGTTTTACCTTTGGCATTAGAGGATAAGGAAAAAATGCAAATTCTCCTCTTTAATCTCCATTATTTGCAAAGTTCTTGGTTGGCGTGGGGCAAATGCTTTCTTTTAACTCTTTATTAAAAAGGTCCTGTACGACATGAAAAATCAGTAATATTGAGAGCTCTATATGCGGTGTGTTCTACTCACCATCAATGCAGGACACAGCAGTGGGCACGCAGGACATAAGGTGCGAGATACACTGGATTAAAAGCAACTCCTTTTCCTCTTTGCTTAAGAATGGAGAAATACACTGGATGGTGTGCAGGGAACCTTGTGTCACAGGAAAATAACTGACAGAAGACAAATATACACTGCATTAGAACAATATACATTAGTAAATCTAAGGGCTCATTCAAACCAGGAGCACTGTAGGAACGCATACAAAATTGCGTGTTTTTCTGCACCAAAAAGAAATGGACTGTCCTTTTGTAGATGCACGTGTGTGTCAATAATTTTTAATGGCACCCCCACTTGTCCAGCAAATGCATGCACATCTGCACTCGCCAAACGCATGGTGCTGCAATACCATGTGTTTTGGTGGCATGCGATTTTAAAAATTGAGCTGGTATCTTTCTTTGCATATTTCTCACGCATGGGTCAGCCAAAATTAATGGGAACATGCAAAACAGCGTGTGCACATGAAAAAACCTCCTGGTGTGAATGAGGCCTAAGTCCTCTGGCCACGCAAAAGTATACTGTGCTGGCACATCCAAAGTGTAAATATGGATCTTTAGTCAGTTTCTCTGTACAGACACACATTCAAATCAATAAGAATACAAGAGCAGATAACCAACATTTGCCAACATCACAAACATACCATGACAGTTTGTGTCTCCATTGTAAGACATAACTAAAACATATCTGCTAACAACCAATTAATTTGAAGTGCTAGAACTTACGTAAATTTTTTTCTTTTTCTGCTGTCCGTGTCCAGTTGGGGAAGATTTCCTTTTACTGGAGACAGATCGGAAAATGAAAGGAAATCTTTCTAAAGTAAGAAAATTCCACTTTAGTTAGCTGACACAGTGACAGCTCGGAGTGAGATTGGCAGTCCTTTGTCACCAGTTAGTGAGAAGGGTAGTTCGTGCAATGGTTGCGCGTACTAGACAAAGAATATCTGTGTGTGTGGCAGCCATGTTGTTTGGAGTTCACCCATGACCAGTTTGTAACACAAGGAGGCCTAATCGCAGCAGTGGTCTCCTTTTACATCCCCCAGGAAGCCATCTGGCACAATACACAACTGTTAATGGATACCAGGACTTTCTTATCAATCCATTGATTGGACACACAGACCTCTCCATTAACCAACCCCAAACTCAGTCTGGAAACTTTAATAAAACGGTCACCCTCACAAGCTCACCATCAGGAGAACTAACAGACATTGGGTCATAAATACCTTAGTTTGAAGTCTGTGGAACACACACTATCAGCCAAGACTTCTAAGCTTCAGCATGTTTCATAACTCATGAAAGAATGACAGCACAGCCAGAATATAGACATATTTACCTCCCTCAGTTATTGGGTAGCATTTGAACCCAAACACCCCTATGCTAGGAGGTACCAGAGCTGATTAGGCCTCCACACCCCTCCAACGAGAAATGGATATCCGAGACCTGTCATATCTATATCTGCATGGTTGCAGACTGTAAATGGTAGGTATTCAAAAATATGAATACTTATAGATAAACTGTATTTGGGACTTGCTCATAAACATGGTGACCACCCAGCACCACACCCACCCATTAAACCAGATGACTGATCAGATGTTCTCTGTCAACACCCCTTTGATACCACAAAAAAAGGGATTGTCAGGACCTTTTGACTAGCTTTCATTTTAACATCAACCAAGGAACACCTAACAGGACTTGAAAGAGCCACTGCAGCGTTTTTGCTTGATCAATTGGACTCTGCTAAAACCAAAAGGACTTTACCAATATTCTTTACTTTCAAATTTTTTTTAAAATTCTCTATTGCTTTATTGTCTCTTTACTTCTTTGTAACACCCTTTTTTCTGTTGCAATCTTTTTACTGACTTTGAAATAACAAAGCAGTACAAAAGCACTGAAACACTGATCAAAATGAGGCGTTTACAGAAATAAGTCTTATACACAGGTGACCAAAAGGATATTACCTCAAAATAAGGGATACGAGGGACAACAGGGAGAGAGGCGGTAATAACACTGCAATCGGTTCAAGTCTAACATCCTCTCTTCCTCCTGGGGGGTGAAGCACCCTTGTAATCTAGACTACATTCTTGAACAGAGTAGAGGTCTGTAATACAGACCAATATTATACCAATGTAAGCAATACTACAAATAAAAAAAAAAAAAAAAGGAAATTAAATACACAGAAGAAAGTCAAGAGAGAAGAGAGTGAAAAGGAAGGAAAGAAAAAGAAAGGGAGAGTAGTAAAGGAGGTATATACCCATCCAAGAAGTCCACCCCTCCATCAACTCAACTCTATGACAATCTTAAGTGTCTGGTACCTGCAAGTAGGATAGCCAGGGATGCCATATTTTTTTCAAACGGGTTGTTTAGAACAGACTAGTTTTTTGTGTAACATGAACAGGTTAGTTTGTTTCATTAAGGCCAAATCAATCACGGGGCTTTTAGAAGCAGTAGCAATAGCTATCTTAGCAGCAAGGAACATGAAATGTATCAAGGTCTGCATGGATCTAGGGACATTGTCCACAGGGTCACTGAGTAACACGGTCCGAGAGTCTTTGGAAATATTGACCATAGTAACCGAGTAGATTAATGAATGAATTCGTAGCCAAAATCGCCACACCTTGGGGCAAGACCACCACACATGTAGAGCCAAGCCTTTTTGGCCACAACCCCTGAAGCAGGAGGTAGACGAACTGGGGTACATTTTGTAAAGACACTTGGGTACCAAGTACCATTTGGCGAGCACCTTGTATCCTGCTTCTACAAGAGCCACATTCATTATGCCCTTATGAACACGCATGGGCCATGTTCGCCATTCCACCACATCAAGAGATATGCCCAAATCCTGCTCCCAAGCAATTTGATAGGGGTGTTTCGACGAAAGGAAGATAAAGGATTTATACAGCATGGAGATGCAGCCCCTCATGAGAGTCCCCTGTATACATCTGCTTTCGAACAGTGTACAACATGAAAGATCAGGACTCTTCTGTTGCAGAGTGCTAAAAAAAATAGTGTATTTGCCCTAAGCGAAAACTCTCCGAGGGGGGAATCTGCATTTCCTGTATGCAGTCTGAGGAAGAATGTATCCCCTTATGGTCTATAAATTGTCCTGTTTGATAGAGGCCTTTATTTATCCATCAACGGAACTGAGCTGGTGTCATACCTTGCGGAAATAATGGGTTGTTAAAGAGGCGCCATAGGTGTGTGGAGGGAACTGAGGGACCAACGACTGCATGTTGAATCTCATAAAGCTATGGAATGGGAAAGCGTAGGACACATAATGGCCCTATGATGTTTCAAAGGGAGCCACAGGATAATGTCTATTGCCACAGAGGAACAAGCTTGGGCTTCTATAGATAACCAATTCAGTTTAAAAAGTGTGTTGTGAAATTAGTTGAGCTGCATATAGTATTTCCGAAAATCTGGTATCCTTAGTCCTCCCATATTCCTAGGAGCATACATAGTATGTAACACCCTTTTTTCTGTAAATATTTTATTTGCACCATTCTGACCTTAAAGTTTTTAAGCTGCCCCTAAGGATTTTAATGCAAAAAAAAAAAAATAAAAAAATCTCTCGGTCTCTTGAAGAGTGCTACTGTGTTACAAATCCCTGAACATACCTGTCTGTTGTGACAGTGCATGTTGCAGATATTTATTCTAAAATCATAGTGGTTATTGCTATGTTTGTGAGTTTCCTCTTCAGTAAAAAGGCAGTGGTGGCATTTAAATGGGTTAATTGCTTAATTAACTTAACCCAGTGACAATCCCGCAAGCTGTAAAATCTTTGTGCAGGGTGCAGCTGACAGTGTTACACAAGTGACAAAGTGGTATGAGATTGGCCAGTCCTTTGTCATGATTTGGTGAGAAGAGAAGGGGTTGGGCAACACGTTCATCACAGTCACCAAAACAGGTGTCCCCATTGAAAGAGGTTTCTGCTACTCCAGTTGTGGTGACAACGGTAACATTTTAGGATTTCCCCTCACCTTCTGTCCCTGATACCCACTAAGAAGAACACCACAAAAACCAGGAAAAGGAACATAACTTAGAAGTACCACCACCATCACCATAATTTTCCGGTGCAGCGGGGATTGATAGAACAGTGGGAGCTCTCAAGTTCTTATCAAGAGGGGGAAGGAGGACCTATCATACATCTGCTTATCCTCCACTCATAGATTGTGTTACATTCATGAATGAAAACATCTGAGAAAAAGGGTGAGCATAGTTTGGCTTGATGAGAGCCTAGGACAGCTTCCACAGTTCTTTTAACCCCCACCACACTGAAAGATTACACTGGCTGGGAAATTTCACCCAACAGAAGCAGCATTAGCAGAAGGGGCACATCATACAGACCTTTAAGTTATGTCCCTTGTGCTGATTTTTGTGGGTCTTTTTGGCTGCATTTAGGCTTTGAACCTTAAAAGCACCCAGAGATTTAAGACACAACTGACCTGTCTGTGCTTGAAGCCAGTACTTTCAATGCATCTTGTCCAGGATTGCTCAATTGAATATGTTTATGAAGGGTTAGAGACCACAGTGTACCACTTTCTAATGACCTGTTAACCAGAAGAAATAGGATATAAAAATAAACTACATTAAACAACATAATAATCATACACTGAATGTATCGGAACTGCCTGTTATACACAGTAAAAGTGTAAAACATCATGTCTGTGAAAGTTTCTATACAGGTGAAACTTGAAAAATTAGAATATCGTGCAAAAGTTAATTTGTTTCAGTAATGCAACTTAAAAGGTGAAACGAATATATGATATATGAAAACAATAGAAATATGAGCGCTGGGTGATAGTAGACCAGTTAGGTACAAAACAGGTAGGAGCAGCCAGCATAGAAGTGGAAACAACCTCAGATCCTCCGAGAAATGCCAGAAATAAAGATACAAATGTGGCGCTCAATCATAGTTGCAGCATATGGAAGATATCTCACAGTGTTAAAACCTCATTAATATGATATATACAGATTAATGTGACTGTTGTGACACAATAAGCAGTAATAATCCTTCCGTGACTGCCGTGACCGTGGTGTTAAATGATATTAACAGCAACACCGCTTATTAGGTATAGATCATACGGAGTGGAATGACTGTGGATATACAGTAAACAGAAAGGTAAAATACGTGACTATTAAAACTGGAAGCAATGAGTATGCTATGCACCAATTGAAATATCTTGTGGTAACGAAAACTTATAGGTTATAGTTCATATGGAATGATGTGACTGTGGTGACACAAAGAACAACTGATAACTTTCGTGACTGCTGTGGCTGGAAGCAATGAGCGTACTATGCACTAACCAGATAGCACAGATAAATGTGCGTTGGAGTAAATAAGACCTACTCCTCGGTACTCTGGGGATGGGAACTCGGCATGCGGATGTGATCATCAGGCGGAGGTACTTCACCAGCTGTCATCTATCCAAAGCAGGTTTCCACATTTCAGGTTAGCTGTGTCCAGCAGTACAATTTCCAGCCATCAGGGGGATCATATGAGGCAGATGGGAGCCAGGAAAAAATCCTTCAGAACAGGGACTCTCAGTGCCAGATAAATGAGCCCAGAGAGAAAAGAACTCCAATAGTGTAGTATGTTTAATGACCAAAATAGCGGTAACATCAAAGTACAAGTAAACAAAGCCAGCACTTACATCTGAGGTAGTTAGTGGTTAACATTCCATAGGAAAGGGTATCTCTGTAACGCGTTTCGTGTAATAACACATTTTCAAAGCCCCTTTGAAAATGTGTTATTACACGAAACGCGTTACAGAGATACCCTTTCCTATGGAATGTTAACCACTAACTACCTCAGATGTAAGTGCTGGCTTCGTTTTCTTGTACTTTGATGTTACCGCTATTTTGGTCATTAACATACTACACTATTGGAGTTCTTTTCTCTCTGGGCTCATTTATCTGGCACTGAGAGTCCCTGTTCTAAAGGATTTTTTCCTGGCTCCCATCTGCCTCATATGATCCCCCTGATGGCTGGAAATTGTACTGCTGGACACAGCTAACCTGAGATGTGGAAACCTGCTTTGGATAGATGACAGCTGGTGAAGTACCTCCGCCTGATGATCACATCCGCATGCCGAGTTCCCATCCCCAGAGTACCGAGGAGTAGGTCTTATTTACTCCAACGCACATTTATCTGTGCTATCTGGTTAGTGCATAGTACGCTCATTGCTTCCAGCCACAGCAGTCACGAAAGTTATCAGTTGTTCTTTGTGTCACCACAGTCACATCATTCCATATGAACTATAACCTATAAGTTTTCGTTACCACAAGATATTTCAATTGGTGCATAGCATACTCATTGCTTCCAGTTTTAATAGTCACGTATTTTACCTTTCTGTTTACTGTATATCCACAGTCATTCCACTCCGTATGATCTATACCTAATAAGCGGTGTTGCTGTTAATATCATTTAACACCACGGTCACGGCAGTCACGGAAGGATTATTACTGCTTATTGTGTCACAACAGTCACATTAATCTGTATATATCATATTAATGAGGTTTTAACACTGTGAGATATCTTCCATATGCTGCAACTATGATTGAGCGCCACATTTGTATCTTTATTTCTAATATATGATATAGCTTGAACTATAGTGCTTTGTATGTAATGAGTCTGTGATTTGTCATAATTGTGATGATTATGGCTTACAGCTCATGAAAACCCCAAATCCACAATCTCAGAAAATTATAATATTGTGAAAAGGTGCAATATTCTCGGCTCAAAGTGTCCCACTCTAATCAGCTAATTAAGCCATAACACCTGCAAAGGGTTCCTGAGCCTTTAAATGGTCTCTCAGTCTGGTTCAGTAGGAATCACAATCATGGGAAAGACTGCTGACCTGACAGTTGTGCAGAAAACCATTGACACCCTCCATAAGGAGGGAAAGCCTCAAAATGTAATTGCAAAAGAAGTTGGATGTTCCCAAAGTGCTGTATCAAAGCACATTAATAGAAAGTTATGTGGAAAGGAAAAGTGTAGAAGAAAAAGGTGCACAAGCAGCAGGGATGACCGCAGCCTGGAGAGGATTGTCAGGAAAAGGCCATTCAAAAGTGTTGGGGACTTTCACAAGGAGTGGACTAAGGCTGGAGTCAGTGCATCAAGAGCCACCACACATAGACGGATCCTGGACATGGGCTTCAAATGTCGTATTCCTCTTGTCAAGCCGCTCTTGAACAACAAACAACGTCAGAAGCGTCATACCTGGGCTAAAGAAAAACAGACCTGGTCTGTTGCTCAGTGGTCCAAAGTTCTCTTTTCTGATGACAGCAACTTTTGCATATCATTTGGAAACCAAGGACCCAAAATATGGAGGAAGAATAGAGAGGCACACACTGCAAGATGCTTGAAGTCCAGTGTGAAGTTTCCACAGTCTGTGTTGATTTGGGGAGCCATGTCATCTGCTGGTGTTGGTCCACTGTGCTTCATTAAGTCCAGGGTCAACGCAGCAGTCTACCAGGAGATTTTGGAGCACTTCATGCTTCCTTCCGCAGACGAGCTTTATGAGGATGCTGACTTCATTTTCCAGCAGGACTTGGCACCTGCCCACACTGCCAAAAGCAGCAAAACCTGGTTCAATGATCGTGGGATCACTGTGCTTGATTGGCCAGCAAATTCGCCTGACCTGAACCCCATAGAGAATCTATGGGGCATTGCCAAGAGAAAGATGAGAGACATGAGATGGAACAATGAGACCGAACAATGCAGAAGAGCTGAAGGCCGTTATTGAAGCATCCTGGTCTTCCATAATACCTCAGCAGTGCCACAGGCTGATACCTTCCATGCCGCGCCGCACTGAGGCAGTAATTGCTGCAAAAGTGGCCCAAAACAAGTATTGAGTACATATGCATGCTTATACTTTTCAGAGGTCCGATATTGTTCTATGTACAATCCTGGTTTTATTGATTGCATGAAATATTCTAATTTTCTGAGATTGTGGATTTGGGGTTTTCATGAGCTGTAAGTCATAATCATCACAATTATGACAAATCACGGCTTGAACTATCTTGCTTTGCATGTAATGAGTATATCTCACATATTAGTTTCACCTTTTAAGTTGCATTACTGAAATAAATTAACTTTTGCATGATATTCTAATTTTTTGAGTTTCACCTGTATATCCAGTTCATTGTAAAGCTAGTAGTGAGTTACATTCAACTTGACTTGTTCTGTAATGTTAAAGATGGTTTCGTACCTTCTCCAAGTCACTTCTTCAGTTTCAATGAGTGCCAGAAAAATTCCCCAGAATTTATATGCACACAGGTAGCACTGACACCTTAATACAATCAACCTGAAATGATTAAAATGTTAACTGTCCTAGAACAGGATTGGGTGTGTGAAAGTTGTGGAACTTCCCTGTTCTAGTTACAGAATTCCATCCTTCGTGTTAGGAAGTCTGCATAAGTCTTAATTTCTCAATTTTCATGGCTAAAAGGTGTAAATAGTTGTCAAACCATGAGGGTAGAGATATCAAAATGGGATTATATGTGGAAAATAGCTGGTGTTGAAGGCCCCTGTGCCTGTTCAGGGATAGTTGTTCCAATATGACATAGAAGGCCTCTTGCAAACCAGTTGCCATCTTAGATCAAAATCAATGGACAAACGCCTCAGATATACACAAGTTACTAAATTAACAAAAAGACCAAAAATTCTTAAAAAAAACAACAACACGTTTTTCTTTGTTTCTGTTATAAAAGTTTGCAAATAAATAATTATTCTTCATAAATTTAGGCCAAAATGTATTCTACTACATGTTTTTGGTGAAAATAACCCAAATCAGTATTTATTATTTAGTCTGTAGGAAAGTTATAGAGTTCACAAACTATGGGATATATCTGAATATTGATCAATCCTGAAGTACTGACAGCCAATCTAATTTCTTGAGGTCCAAAAATGTCGAACAGTACAGATATCCCCCAAATGACCCCTTTTTACAAAGTAGTCCGACGTATTTCATAACAGGCATGGCGAGCTTTTTGATGTTGTAATTTTTTTTTTTTTTTTTTTTTACATACTGTCACCTGTGCAGTACAGCGTCATCATATAACTGGCATGGCGGTGATCAGGGACACTGACTGGTGACAGTACGAAAAAAAAAATTGATAATTTTTATTTTTTTTTTTTATTACATTTTTTTTCTCTAAGATTTTTTTTCATATTACACTATGACCAAAGTAGTATAATGTTACCATAGTAACATTGTACTACTTTGGGGAAGTGATCAGTATTTTTTTTTTTTTTTTTTAACACAATTTGCTTATAGCAAAGAATTACTTTGCTATAAGCAAGCATTTACCTGAATGAAAAATCGATTCATTCAGGATTTTTTTTTTTTTCTTAACTGTGATTTGTCCACAGCTAATCACATGACACAGCTGGACTGTGATTGGCCCAGCTTGTGCATGTGATCGCTGTGACCATTCACAGCTAGCCACACTTGTATACAATGGATGGCATGAAAGGAAGCCATCCATTGTATACAACTATCATGTGACCTGCTGTGATTGGTCAAAACAGGTCACATGGTCAAAACAGGTCACATGGTACTGGCATCGGGGCCGGTACACAGATCTGTCATCGGCTGTGTCCGAGGTACACGGCCGGTGACAGATCGCACCGCTGCATGGCTCTGCTGGCATGCAAACTGTGCATGCCTGAAAGGACGCCATATGGCATCCACCCGGAGGGACGAGGGTTTTTGCCTGCCGCCATTCGGCCATAGGCCGGGCGGGGACCGGTTCAGACCCAAATTCAAGCAAAGTAACTCGGTATATATGCAGTGCAGCATGCAATGCAAAGACTTTTACATAGGGGAGATGAAGCAACCTCTCAACAAATGAATGGTCACACATAGGAGGGAACATTCTACAGGTGCAGACTCAACAGGATTCCTAAACCTTAAGATAAAGGGCTATTCTTTCAAAGACAATTAGGTGCACATTTTGGACGGAAGCCAACTCTTTCGCAAGATACGTGAAAGAGGTAATGTCAAACTAAAAATCCATCCCTGAACAAGATTAGGGCCTTCAACACCATCTGCCTTTCACATATAATGCCATTATAATATTTCTACCCTGGCGATTAAAATTAATTCACTTCTTTACCATGTAAATTGAGGAATCACTGCATTGTAGCCTTTCTGACATCAAGGATGGGATTATGTAACTATGTGTGCCAACTTTATTTTCAGAAAGCCCGGTGTGTTTTTTTGGTTCACAAGGGGATAGTTCACTACGAGTTCATAGATACTGGTACAACGATCAACCAACATTTTTACTTCGAAATTCTGAAAATGTTACAGTAATCTGTTCGGAGGAAAAGATTAGAACTCTGACCTGACAAGTGGATTCTCCACCAAGACCATGCTCCTGCGCCTTACCATTCCAGGAATTAAATTGTCACATCTTGTAGGGTGATTCCACCACTTTCACACCTACTATCTTGTTTTTGGACAACAAACATCTACACATTCAATGGTGACTGGGTTAAGGGGTCTGTGTTACCTGTGTGGATATAAATGCCGAGGCATGTTGCTGCCACTCATCAGAACTGAAGAAGTGGACTGGAGAAACTTTGCAATGTCTTCAGCATTACAGAACAAGTCCAGTTGAATGTGTCCAACTACTACCAGCTGAAAAAATCATATATATAAGAGGATTACCTGGTATACAAGAGCTCTAAGAGGCCAGGCAGATGGTCACCAAGTTCTACAATGCTGTCATGGGTTATGTCCATAGCACGGAGCATGTTGCAGCACTCTGTAAGGGTGGCTGGAGGTCCCTCAAGCTCATCACACCACTGTAAGCTATACAGCATTTCAGAAACTGGGCAAACATTACAGATAAGAAGGTTGTACATTAATTATGTGTACATGTAACTAACCAAAACAATTCTTTAAACATTTGTAGAAAAGTGTTGTATGAACACACACTCTTCCCTACTATATGTAAATATGGCTGTAATCAGGCTTTAATGAACAAATCACAGAGTACACACTGCATTTCCATATCCTATACCCATTACTGCCATCGTAGGAACATATGAAAAACTCACCAGTAATTCAAATACAGCTTTCAGGTTCGCACTTTAATCGCAGTAAGGCTGAGGGTTGGGGGATGATCTCTCTGCGGAGATTGTGGACCACAGGTAAAGCTGGCCATAGATGGTTCAAATCATGGTCTGTTCAGCAGTGGCTGGCCGAGACTGGAACCATCTATGGGTAGGCTGATTGTACCCAATCTGATTGTTGTACGACTTGGGTGCAACCAACATGTTGAATTTTCATGCAATGTTTGCCAGCAGGGACAGTTCTCCCTTGCGAGAGAACACAATAGCTTGTGTTGATGGGGGAATCGAGTGATTCTCCATCTATGGTCTGCTTTAAGACACAGAAATCAATGTATCACTCCAACATAAAGTGATCAATAGATTGCTTATCAAGCTACATTTGCTAAAGAGGTGTTAATATTATGACCTCCGCAAGCAAGACAAATGCTCATGAAAGGGAAGACCGAGGGACTGGGAGTGGACGGCAATGTGTAGAATGAAAGAATTTTTTTTTTTCTGGTCCAGCTTTGACCTGTTGACACAAACAGAGCCACGTGGGCCAGAAGCTTTCAGATACATTACACAGACTGATGGAGGGAGTGAGGGCTGATTGGAAAAGCTGTCTAGCTGCTGTGTGGGTGGAACAATCCACAATGTTCCCAGGACGTTCCAGCTGGCCAATTGATAGACGCTAATTGGCTTTATTCTAAACATAAGCCATTCCATCTTAAAATTGAGATGAATTTTTGGCAGCTGTGAACTAAAGAAAAAAAAAAAAAAAAAAAAAAAAAAAGAACTCCAAGACTGAAAGGAAAGCATGAAAAACTAAACTGATTATACTCAAAAATGAAGACCAGTAAATAAGACCCTCAACTAGTTACCATTTGTATCTAAAAGGAACCAGTGTGAACTTAGAACAGCCTGCAACCATTGAAATGATATGGACTATTGTGTCCCTAAACATTAGCATGGTGGAAAGATGGGTATAAACACACAGTCTGTCAGGGTGTCAGGCACTGGGTGAGCACAGATTATTGGTTGTAGATATTCCCACCTCCGAAAATAAAGGTCTGCTTTTTAAAGCAATTGAAAACTCTACAATTATATAGGGTTGTCAAAATTGATGATTTATTAGGTTTAAAGTTGTAAACTAATGTTGAATAGCAGCTTTGATTATTTATAGAACATCCTTATATTGCAAATAAAAACTTAAAAACAGGGCTGAATTCATAACATGGAATTCTGAAATTATTTACATCAGAAACTGCTTGCCTTCAGGCTCTTCCTCTCTGATTGAAACTTTGGATGGATCCATCTGAGGTGACGGGAAGCAGCCATTGTTCCAATTCATTAAACTTGCTAAAAAGGTGATGAGGTTTGCCTGCTGGCTGCATAGAAGAATTTCAAATATTCATATACAATATTTTTTAAATGTTGTTTTAACCACTTGCCTACCGGGCACTTATACCCCCTCCTTGCCCAGGCCAATTTTCAGCTTTCAGTGCTGTCACACTTTGAATGACAATTGCGCAGTCATGCAACACTGTACCCATATGAAATTTTTATCATTTTTATGAGACAGACAGAGCTTTCTGTAGGTGGTATTTATTCACCTCTGGGTTTTTTATTTTTTGCTAAACACACCAAAAAAACTCAGAAAATTCAGAAAAAAAGTTTTTTCTTAGTTTCTGTTATAAAACTTTGTAAATAAGTGATTTTTCTCCTTCACTGATGTGCGCTAAAGAAGCTGCAGTGCTGGGCACTGATAGGCTGCACTGATGAGGAGGCACTGTTAGGTGGCACTGATGGGCATTGACAGGAATCACTGATAGGCACTGAAAGGCATGACTCATATATAGCATGGATAGGTGGCACTGACTGGAAGCACTGATAGGTGGCACTGTCTGGCACCTCAGATGAGCACCGATATGTGGCATTGATGTGCACTGGTAGGCATGGATATGTGGCATTGATGTGGCACTGATGAGCACTGACAGCTGGCATTGGACACTGACAGGTGGCACTGATGGGGCTACACTGATCATCAGTGCCCTGATGATCAGTGTACATGTCCCCTCTTGGGAATGCAGATTACCGGCTCTCCACACGAGCTGTCAGCATGAGGAGAGGACTTATTTCCTTATTTACATGCGATCAGCTGCGATTGGACACAGCTGATCACATGACAGAGCCAAAGTCTTCAGCTCTGTCCATTGATCGGTGATCCACTGTGTTCGATGGACACAGTGCACCACCGATTGCACCGCTGCATGCTCCCGGAACCGCGCACGCCCGGTTAGAGTGGGAGGACGTCATAGGACGTCTTCCCAGAACGAGAAAACAGCCTTGCGCCCGTCATTACCTTACATGGCGGGCGGGAGGCAGTTAAAGTGTTTCTAACACCAGAAAATATATTCATATATTTTTAAATTTGGATAAATTGGTAAGGGGTTAAAACCCCTGCCAGATTTTAACTGCTGTCCATGTCCTGCTGGGGAAAAAAAAAAAAAAAAAAAACAAAGTACAAAACCACTACGCAGTCCCTTCCTCAGTACTGCACCCCACTTTATGGAATGACAAGATACTGATAAAGATACTGATAGAGAGTTCCATTTTGTTTTGATGTGTCTAATGGGTGTACAAGAGGTTGTTCTCTATTACCCGTTATGGTTATCCTCACTGCAATCTCCCCATCTTTCCTCAGAGCATTGTTCTCCAGGATACGAAAAGCCATTTTGCTCATTATTGCACCTGTACACAAGTGCTGGGGCAGCCAAGTCTTTTGAAGTGATTTAAGATCTGTCCCAGATGTTTCCGAATTCATACTCAATCGCCCTTCCAAAAGCGGCTTGCTTGACCACTGTAAAAGAACAGAACTGTCAAAACACAATTATGGTGCCATTTCAGCACCTCGTTGGTTTTAAATGAAATATCACTATTCTCCTAACTGAAGTTCACAGAAATATTACACAAACAGAGCAAGTAGTAAGAAGATGCAGCACTTCCCATACCTGTCCAGGGAGAGCCTGGCGCATCTTCTGCCATTTCTCATCGCTCGGCATCATCAGAGACAAGTGCTCAGCCAGGAAGTGAGATGAGGATGGACCTGAATCTAAGAGCTTGCCATACAAGTTATCAACAGCACTTATCAGTGTTTGGAGGCTAAATCAGACCAAAAAAAAAATATAAAAAATTTAGATTAAGTAAGACAGTCAGCAGACTATTCAAAGAACTCAAATCATATTAGCTTTCCACAGATCTTAATGGCAGAGCGGTTTTGATTAAGAGTTTTTAAAAGTTAGTTTTCTTATTTCAACCTTCTTTTCACCCGGTGATCCACAGTTCTGGGGTGACAATGCTCACTCATCATACTAGATCAATGGAGAAGCAACAACATGTGACAAGATTACAGAAACCTTCCCCTCTCCTCCTCTCTATTACAGAAAAAGGGCTCTGCAGTTTTCAGGATAAATGGGAATGTAACTGACAAGACTGCAGGAAGCAGTGCACAGAAAACGATCAGCTGAGAAGATTTCTGACAGTAAAATGCTTCATTCACACTAGATGCATTGGAACTGAGCTGGGTGTTTATTCAGTCTCACCACATGACTTGCAAGGCAAAATATCCTGTCTCCTGTGTGTGCGATTCATAACACTGCGTGGGCAGCCAACTGAACTTTTCTGAAATGTCTGCAGGACATTTCAATAAAGTTAATTTAAAAAACAAAAAGGGATGGGTGCAGTACAGAGCGGTGAATTTAGCTGGACCGCACAACAGGCGTTGCGTTATATAGTACTGGCTGGTGTGAACGGACTTGAGTCAGTACTTTGTAGAACCACCTTTAGCTGCAATTACAGCTGCAAGTCTTTTTGGGGATGTCTCCACCAGCTTTGCACATCTAGAGAGTGAAATCATTGCCCATTCTTCTTTGCAAAATAGTTTATGCTCTGTCAGATTGGATGGAGAGCATCTGGGAACAGCAATTATCAAGTCTTGCACAGATTCTCCATTGGATTTCGGTCTGGACTTTGACTGGGCCATTCTAACACATGAATATTCTTAGATATAAACCATTCCATTGTAGCTCTGGCTGGATGTTTTGGGTTGTTGTCCTGCTGGAAGGTGAACCTCTGCTCCAGTCTCAAGTCTTTTACAGACTAGAACAGGTTTTCTTCTAAGATTGCCCTGTATTTGGCTCCATCCATCTTCCCATCAACTCTGACCAGCTTCCCTGTCCCTGCTGAAGAAAAGCATCCCCACAACATGATGCTGCCACCACGTTTCACGGTGGGGATGGAGTATTCAGGGTGATGTGCAGTGTTAGTTTTCTGCCACACATAGCGTTTTTGCTTTTAGGCCAAAAAGTTCAAATTTGGTCTCATCTGACCAGAGCACCTCTTTCACATGTTTGTTTTGTCCCCCACAAGGCTTCTCACAAACTGCAAACGGGGCTTCTTATGGCTTTCTTCTTGCCACTCTTCCATAAAGGACAGATTTGTGGAGTGCACAACTAATAGTTGTCCTGTGGACAGATTCTCCCACCTGATCTGTGCATCTCTCCAGCTCCTCCAGAGTTACCATGGGCTTCTTGGCTTCTTCTCTGATTAATGCTTTCCTTGCCCAGAAGCGCGATTAGTCACTCCAGAGAACACATCTCCACTGCTCTAGAGTCTCGTGGTGGCATGCTTTACACAACGTTATCCGATGCTTTGCATTGCACTTGGTGATGTAAGGCTTGGATGCAGCTGTTCAGCAATGGAAACCCATTCCATGAAGCTCTCTACACGCGGTTGCTGTGCTAATCTGAAGGCCACACAAAGTTTGGAGATCTTTAGCTATTGACTCTGCAGACAGTTGCCGACTTCAGCGCACGGTGTACTTCAGCATGCGCTGACCCCGCTCTGTCATTTTACGTGGCCTACCACTTCATTGCCAAGTTGCTGTTGTTCCCAGTTGCTTCCACTTTGTTATAATACCACTAACAGTTGAAAGTGAAATATTTGGTAGTGAGGAAATTTCACAGATGATCTTATTGCACAGGTGGCAACTTATCACGGTACCACGCTTGAATTCTCTGAGCTCCTGGCAGCGAGTGACCCATTCTTTCAAAAATGTTTGTAGAAGCAGTCTGCATGCCTAGGTGCTTGATTTTATACACCTGTGGCCATGGAGGTGATTGGAACACCTGAATCCAATGATTTGGAGGGGGGTCCCAATATATATATAAAATAAATAAATAAATAATGTAGTGTGCATAGTCTAAACACTATTCAGAACTACAAGCCTTCAGTGTTATAAGCCAGACTATATGCAAACATTTTTTTGTTCATTTTGGATAGAATAAGGAAGGATTATAACGCCTGCCAGTTTTTTGCTATCTGTGTCCCACTGGGAAGATTTAACTTCACTTCCTGTCCCATAGACAAAATACTAAGTGAGAGGAAATCCCTACAAATTAAGGGAATCCCTTGGGCTGGGCCGGCCGGCTGCCGCTCCCCCCACATCACCAGAACTAGTGTTCTCATTGGAAGATTTTGTCTCTATTACTTTCTGAGGGACAACCCAAAATTTGGGATTTTCTTTTACACTTTCAATAGCAATGGCAAAACAGAACAAATTATCTCCATAGCGGGGGGGCACAGACAGCTATACAAACCTGACAGGTGTTCTAATCCATCTCCACTCTATCCAAAACTATGAAAAAAGTTTTGCCTTTAGTTATACTTAATGCCCTGCCCACTGGCCGCCACTATCCAATCTGAGGGTCTTTATCAGTTGCTGCAAACACCTAAAAGACGTTTAAAATAATCAACAGGCTGACTTAAGAAAGCAGCAACAAACAGCTAATTCTGCATTACTAAAAGAAAGAAAACCATATTGATAACAGTAAGGATAGTACTGTTCCCATCATGACAAGGATAGTGTTAGCTTTACCTGTTCATAGTCAAATGAGACCCCTGAAGTTGCTCCATGATCCACTGTGCAGAACAATGAAGAAACTTGCTTCCTTTCGGCAGAATGTGAGGCCGGCAGAGAAGTGACTCTATACCACACATCCACGTATGCTGTAACTTCAGCATGAGCGTTTCTAGCAGGAATACAAAACACAAGTTTAACTCTCTGATTACAGACTGTACTAACAGAGAAAGCACAAACACTGTGCAATCAAACTGCTCTAATATCCTGAAAACTACACATTTAAAACTAGCGTTATTACATTTTACAGGACAATGCAACAGTTTTGTTTATATTTGTAATTTAATCTTTGTTTTACAAATAAATACTAAGTATATGAGAAGGGATTCCTAGAAAACTATAGGTATAGATTATAAGAGTGAGTCTGTACTTAAAGAAGGTTCTTTTACATTTTTAATTTGCTTTAAAGAAAATATGTTGAAAAAAAAAACCTTCCCCTTTAATACACACTCATAACAGTATTTTGATTTTAAAGGATCACAATGAAACCTACAGAAACACCATGGATTCTTCAGCAATAGCTGCACTGTCACATGACTCAAAGTAAAATCTAAACCCAAGAACAACAAAATTAAAGACAAAGGCAGCACAGTGGCTAAAAGGTTAGCATTTCCGCCTGGCAGTACTAGGTTCATTAGTTCGAATCCCAGCCACAGCACCACCTGCCTGGAGTTTGCATGTTCTCCCTGTGCCTGTGTGGGTTTCCTCCGGGTACTCAGGTTTCCTCTCACTCCAAAGACATGCTGGTAGGTTAATTGGATCCTATCTAAATTGGCCCTAGTATGTGTATGTATGACTGTAAGTTAGGGACTTTAGATTGTACACCCCTTGAGGGTTAGGGACTGATGTGAATGTACAATATATATGTAAAGCACTGCGTAAATTGATGGTGCTATATAAGTACCTGTAATTCATAAAATAAAGATTACTAATGGAAAAAGCTGTGGTTTTGCTGAAATTCCAAATCCTCCGATTTCCATCACCCTACCGCACCAGCGGTAATCTGTTGCTGCTGTGGAGGTTAACAAGCAGAAGGACCTATCAGACACTCATCAAGAAAGCCAACTATGCCAGCCTTTTCCGCCCCCTCCTCCATTTATAGTAACTGTACTATAGCTTCCATGAATGAAAAATGATCTATGAATGGAGGAGGCAGACCTTTCATGCATCCACTCATCTTGTAACATGTTATGGAGATGAGGAGAGGTGGAAAAGTTATCCAAATCAGGAGGGCAACACAGGGTGAGAACCCTGCTCCTTTATACATCCAGTACAGTAAGTGTTGTCACCCTAGGACAGGAAATATGTTACTGGTAGGCAGGGGCGGACTGACCATTTGGAAACTCGGGCACTTCCCGAGGGCCCGGGGCCAGTAGGGGGCCCCATGAGATGCCCCTGGTACCTTTTTCATAGGCTTTTTTGGATTTTGGGCAAGGACACGGGCCCCATGATCCCCTATTGCCCGGGGGCCCCATGAGTTGTCAGTCCGCCCCTGTTGGTAGGATACCTAGAAGAAAAAGAAAAATGAACCCTGAAAAACAAAAAAAAATATTGCATTTGCCACATCCAAGGTCTGGTAAGCTGCACCATATTACATTTTTGTTTTTGGGTTTAAATACACTTCAAAGCGTTCTAATAAAGAAAGTGGAGGACCTTACTTAGTCTTACTGCATTTATATATTTGTATACTACTGTGCCTGACAAATCTATGCTCAAAATTCATTTGCCACCATGCAGTGGTACCTGACAACCGAGTTTTATCAGAAGGCTGTGCACACAGCTGGAACATCGTGAGAAGCAGGTCCTCTGCTGATGGCATTTGCAGACAATCTTTCACAGAACTAAAAAAGTTGGAGGCCACATCGCAGATGAAGGACACAGACTGCTCAAGGTCACCGGCTTCAGAGAAATCCTTTGTTTTAGTCAACGTGCAGTGAAGTTTATCAATAATCTTCTCCACATAGACTTCTGCTATAAGTGTTTCTGGAAGAAAAGAAAAGGAGATTTGTTTTCACATACAAGTGGGTACAATCCTTTATCAGGAATCATATGCTTCACACAGGAAATAATGGCTTGTAGACAAATTTTTATTTTAAAGCAGAAATCTCAGGAAAATTTGTTTTGCCCGTGCAGTGGGACTGTGCCCACACTGCACGAGTGCTTTGTTTTAGGGGAGATGACACCGAAGATATACTCACGTGACCCGCTGATTTCCCCCCGCCCCGCAGTCCAGCGGTCTGTAAATGAACTGTTCCTGACTACGCAGTCCACAGACAGACACTGGAATGTGGGGGAGTGCAGTTTTCCATATGATCGGCAGGTGAGTATGAGCTTAGTCTTCACCCCTAGAACAAAAAAAACCCGAGCAGCTGATCGATGCAGTGGGGGCACAGCCCCATTGCATGGTAAAAGAAAAAAAGAATAACTGGAATTCTGCTTTAAGGTTTTCTTTTCCACATTTTTAAACTTGTTTTCTACAAATAATTACTTTTTTTATTTTGCAAATAAACATTTAGAACAGGTGGCATCCACAACACTGGTTATGTAGAGCATTCTGGACTTTCTAAACAGAAATCCCAGCAGTAACTTTGGGACGCTTTAGCTTTAAAGTGGTTGTAAAACTTTACATGTATACCCAGTAAAATGACTGGCTTCAGGTAATACATAGAGATGACACAAATCCTCCTAAATAAGTTGTACCTGTTTATAAACTGTTGGCGCTATATAAATGCTGTGTAATAATAATAATAATAATAATAATAATATATGCAGTCTTCTCTTTAAAGCTTGTCTAAGCTGTCAGAAAAATAGGAGGCGGAGAGTTAAATTACACTCTTTAGAGCTCAGTGAGTGGAGGGAAGGAATACATACAGATTGGAGGGCAAGAATACACCCCTCTCCACACAGCGCCCAGTGTGTTGTAGCTCAGTCCCGTCACCTTTTTTTCTCTTGGTGTCAAGAAAGTGTTAAAAACGACTCATGCAAATAGCAGAGGAACAGGGACAGCAGAAAGAAATGACTTAGTACTCTGGACAGAACACTATAGAGAGATATGCTTTATTCATATGTCATGCCTGAGTTCTAACAAACTCTGTGGGGGCTTTACAGAACTGGAAAAAGGGAGGGGCAGCGAGTAACCTCCCTCATTCTCCCAACTGTGTGTGTAATTTGAGCGTCAGAAAACGTAAAAACTATAAAGAATGCATATGCCCGCTATGTGATAGTTAGACAAACACTTAAAAAAATAAATAAATAAATAAAGCTACCCACCCCTGTGTACATACAAATATAGACAGAAATGCAAGTGGTAGGTGCACCTACATATGAAAATGACAATTGCACTACATATATTCATTATTGTCACTCACACTGGAGTAAGCACAGAAATTTTAGGGCCATTGCTCACAGTTCACTCTCAACCGAGAACATAGAAAGTGACAGAATCTCTGAAACTGAGCCTTCAAAGGCAGTACAACCTCAGCAGTTTAATGCAGTGTAAGGGTTACAAGAATTTTAAAGTACTGGCTTATACTCCACTTTACTATCTTAATGAATTGGGCGAACACTTAACATTTTTGCAAGAAACATCTGCCAAAAATAAGTTCTCCTAAAAATCTCTCGGCTAAACCGTGCCAATAACTCATCCCTAAGTGGTGCACATTTAGCTTCAGAGACAAGATCAAAGATAAGTAAAGAACATTAATCATTATCTATTATAATTATTAATGAAGAAGAATGCAGCCGACTCTTCATGCTATTGTGCATAAAAAAACAAAACAAAAAAGAAAAAAAAAACAAAAAAAAAAAAAAAAAACACCCTTCTCCAGTTCCAGCCTGTAGAATGAAAAGGAACACCAAGGATGGACCCTTTCCCAGCACAATGCTCAATGTTTGTTTATTTACATACTCCCTTTCAGCTGACACTTAGTGCACCTGCTGGCTCTCAATTCCTGTTAGCACTGACAGTTTAGCTCCCTACTGTCAATCAGGAGCCAATCAGAATGGATCCTGATCATACAAGTCAGCTATGATCACATGCAGGCTGGAGGCATCATTGATTATTATTATTATTATACAGTATTTATAAAGCGCCAATAGTTCGCTCAGCGCTGTACATTACAGAGGGGAACAGAACATGTGACAGAACAATACCAATACAATGCAAAACATGAGGGGATTGAGGGCCCTGCTCTTTCGAGCTTACAATCTAGGAGGGAGGGGATGGTGGCACAGGAGGAGATAGCTGTGGGGGATGGAGTGGTAGGAAGAGTGGATGAGGTCGGCAAGTTAGCAGGGGGTGGGGTAGGCTTCCCTGAAGAGATGGGTTTTCAGGGTGCGCCTAAAGAAGAGGAGAGTAGGTGATAATCTGATGGGTTGGGGCAGGGAGTTCCAGAGGATGGGTGACACCCTGGAGAAGTCCTGGAGGCGGGCATGGGAGGAGGAGACCAGGGAACTAGAGAGAGTACTTGGTACTTGGATATTAGGTCAGTGATGTAGTTCGGGGCAGTGTGGTGGACAGCTTTGTACGTCAGTGTTAGGATTTTGAATTTGATCCGTTGCGCAATTGGAAGCCAGTGGAGGGATTGGCAGAGGGGGGTGGCGGAAACGGAGCGGTTGGAAAGGTGAATGAGTCTGGCAGCCGTATTCAGGATGGACTGAAGCGGGGATAGCCAGCGGTGAGGCAGGCCAGTGAGGAGGGAGTTGCAGTAGCCGAGTCGTGATATGATGAGGGAGTGGATGAGATGTTTATTGGTTTCTGGAGTTAGGAACGTGCGGATTTTGGCGATGTTGCGGAGGTGGAGTCTGCACGAGTTTGTTAAAGAGTGGACTTGGGGCTGGAAGGATAGGTTGGAGTCCAAAATGACACCAAGTACTCTGGCCTGCGGGGCGGGTTTGATGGTGGCGTTGTTGGACATGATGGAGAAGTCAATAAAATAAATCCTTCTGCCAGCAAATGAAAAACTGATACTTTTTGGCATTAACATATGGAGTAAATTACAGTTGTTATACTGTAATTGTCCAGCATTAAAAAAAAAAAAAAAAAAAAAAATCATAAAACAAAAAAAAAAAACGCTTTCATTAAAACAGTGTACCACATAAAAATTTTAAATAGAATACATACATACATACATACATACATATATATATATATCAAAGTATATAAAAATTATTTAGGTACGAAATTTAGAGAATATGTCAAGCATGCCAACACTGCTAAATTTATCCTAAGAATCAAAGACCTCTGGTCATGAAAGGATTGAACACTGAAAAAGAAAAATGTGAAGGTAACCTTTCTTATACCAAATGTAACTTGTAATGCTTTGGTACATATTAGAACTTCTGATTGGTTGATATGGGGAAATTCCCCTGCCTCACTTGTTACTCCTGTGCGCACAGTGATACTGTTCGTTACTCACCATTCTTAACATGTTCCGAGAGCACTAAGCTCAATAGAGACCATTTGTCAGAGCAGTAGGCCTCTGATTTTTCTGCCTTGTCTGTTATGCCGCTGATACACAAGTCACTTGCCAGAGAAATAAGTCTGTCACCCAGAACGTCTCCTTTCAGCCAGTCACAGATCAGGGAGTGCTTGATGGGATCAGAACAGGCCTGACAGAGAGGAACCAGAAAAGGTAAGCAATTTACAAAAAGAAGCCTCTCCTAACACACAAACACAACATAAAAAAAGAGATCCAGAGCAAAACAAAAACTGTTGTATTGTTTCTAACGGCTATTTAGTTGTTTTGTGTGCAGATAGCATTCAGTACAAATGCATGGATTCAACGTTTTGATAAGATAAGCCTGACTGTTTAGGGTTAAAGTGGAATTTAAAAGAAGTATGGGAATTTTTTTTTTTTTTTAATTATACTTACCTATGTGGATGCAGTATCTGATGCTGTACCCATTTCCTGGCAGTTCCAAGGACGAGAACTGAGCAATCAATCACCACTCAATCGCTCAGTTCTTCACGCCACTCTGAGCAAAGACGGTCAGCCTCCAGTTCTCTGCTTTGCCCCTGGAGCAATGGGCTGTGGAGAAGGCGGGAGCTGCTGGTTTAGGCTCACTGACAGGCTGACTCAGGTGTCGGGCCAGGCTCCTGGGTGGATCCTGACTATATGGTCGGGATCTTCCCCCAGCCTGTACCAGCTGAATGACGTCAGCCGACAGCAGACTTTGCCCGCTGTAGGCTAAAAACGGGTCCCAGGGGTGTAAAACGAACTGCACTCTTGTGATCCACAGGAGAAGTACAGTCAAATGAGCTTTGGCTGTACTTCTCTTTACTGTATCTGAGCACCACAAAAACACTATTTGATTAATTTTATGTCCATCCATGTCTCCATGTTTTATTTTGTTGAGAAATCACTTTGAAAAACACCCCCTATAGTTTCCAACCACAGCCATCTTGAGTAAGGGCAGAGAATTCATGTAGCATTTACTTCCAGGGATCCAACTTCCTTTAGCTCAGGCATAGAGGCAGGAGGTTGCACTTAGGTGAGAAATCCCCTCCTCCCTTCCTCCAGATGAAAGAAAACAAAAATGCCCATGAAGACTCCTGGGAATGTACATCATTTTGGCCTAGGCTAGAAACCAAAAAGCACTTGAAGTGGAACTTTGTCACGCTTTGTCGCTTCTGCATTAAAGCTACTTACTAGTCTGTGTGCCCCTGTGCAGTAAGCTCCGGGGGGGGGGGGGGGGGGGCGCATCGCTGGATTCTAGGAAAGTATAGTTTTTAACAAGTAAATATATCTTCCTATAATTTTACTAAGGCTAGTAGCATAAAGAATAAAAATAGCTAAAGTTGATTAATAAAGTTTAATTCCTCTTTAAGGGTAGTATTCAGATCAGGAACTGCATTCGGTGTTAAACCTGGGTAGTTTTGTTAATTTTTTGATGGCTAGCTTGAAAGTGTGCTAGGGACTACCTTAGTGTTGCCCTGCACATGTGCACCGGTCTCCTCTTTTGCTAGTTTCAAACTAATCAGAGCAGAAGTCACTGTTGCTTTTTCGGATTTGATGCAGACAAATGGAAGTCTTCGGCTGCCTTGTAAAGGTGGTATTTGGTCTTCCGATATGAGGCTGCACATTTAAAGGATACGTTCCCCTTAGGTAACATGTTGTATATGCCATCTGTTTTATCTGTCAAATTTGAAAAAAACGTGGCTGTTTGGGGCTCCACCCACATGGCCACATCATTCATTCACGGACTCCAATGAATGAATTAACTGCAGGTACCAACAGCCTTATCAGCTGTTGGCTTGTAGTTTTTAATGAACTTCCATGGTGCTGTGGTAGGTCTTTGAAGCTTCCTGTCAGAATATCTTCTTGCTCATACATCTCGTATCGTACGAAAACAGATATTCTGACAGGTCTGATCGCTGGTGCAATGCTTTCCAGGCTCCTGTAGACAAAAAAAAAAAAAAAAAAAAAAAAATGCACATTTTTTTTACTTGGAAAAAAAAAATGTGCATTTATTTTTTTTATCTAAAAAGGTGAACTTATCCTTTAAGAAAGAAGGGACTGCCTGCTTTTAGTATGTGCATGGTTCTTCTATGTCCTATAACTGGGGATAGTTTGGAGTTGGGAAACACATTTTACACAGGACCGTTTCAGCTGGTCAATAAGTATGCAACAAAAACCTTGGGACTGAAACAGTTTAGTACGTTTTTTTGCTGGCTAGCTTGAAAGTACAGTATGCCAAGAACTCTCTTTGTATGGTTTTGTATATTGCCTTGCACATCTGCACGCTCATTTTTTTCTAATTTCAAACTGATTAAAGCTTCTGCCATTGGTATTCCTTTGTATTATTTATTACATGTTTAATTACTTTACAAGTATCGGTATTACACAGCCAGGTTGCTGCTTTAGTAATTAAAACAAAAAGCAAAACAAATCATACATTTATAAAAAAGGTACAACTATGGTTTTACAAAATGTGTTTAGCACTTTATTAGTTTTGGGAATCTTAAGCAAGTGGAATGCAGTAAAAAGTAATGTAGTTTAAAAAACAAAACAAAAAAAGTGGGAGGAGAGCCTGGAAGTGTAATCTGTCAAAGTGCATTAAGTAGAGACAAAACAGTGGGAACTGCCGCTAGCATTTAAAAAATGAGATATAAAATGCAAGTCAGGGTGAGCGCAGTGTCCAGTAGACAGCATATCCAATCTCCATTTTGAATTGGACTTGTTACTAAATCCAGGACCCAGCATTCACTATATCAGGTCTCCCACAGTACACAGAACATGGGAACGGAATTATTTTAGTAAATATAAACTGTAAATCTTAGTAAATATACCTTTTCTCATCAGCAGTTAGAGCAGTCTTGTGACTTCTATCACTGTCCAGCACAGCACCAATTAAAGCTTGTGGGAGGAGTGTTCATTCTCCCCCGATTGTCCTATGAGGCTGCAGGACCCCTGACCCTCTATCTAGACAGCGCTGAATGGCCCTGTGCTGATCACATGCACTCTCCCAAGTAAAAAAAAAAAAACCCACACACACCTCTAGCAATACACAACAAACTGAGCACATGCAGCTCTGTTCTATCAGTGAATTGATTGGGGACAGTAGAAGAAGGGGAGGATCAGAGAAGACAGAATCAAAACACAGCTAGGAGAATTAACCCCTTAGGTTCCACAGGGAGTAGAATAAACATGCTGTTAAATACTGTTAAAGACTTGGGTACAACCAGTCTGTCGAATTTTAAATGCGATTATTGTTAACGGCTATTATAGCCACTAGCATAGATCACACGACCTAGTGACTAGACCAGGGCCTAAAATTTCAAGTCCTGAGCTACTAGCCAGGCCTTAGAGTTACTCGCCACAAACAAACATACACAAACAGAGACACCTGTACACACACACACACACACACACACACACACACGTATACACATACAGGCATGTACAGACACGCATACACACAGATACATATGTACATACACAGAAATACACACACACACACAGACACATGTACAATTGCACATGCATACACAGATACATATGTACACGTACACACACCACCCCACCCCCCCACCCCAAAAAGTTGCAGTACTTCGTTGTTCATTCACAGAGCCAGGTACTGCACTCTAGGGGGAGGCAGAGAGCACAGCACACACGCTTTGCTTTCACTGCGCTCAGCTATTGAGCAGTCTGACGGCTCTCAGTGCCAATGACAGATCCAGCTTGAGCTCCGAGCCTGCTCAGCAAGACGGCCCTGGAGGACACATTTGCCCCCACCATAATTTCCACTCGCTATTGGCGAGCAGGCGAGTGGAAATTTCAAGCCCTGGACTAGACCTTTACCAAACCTGCGAAGTACTGCAGAAAATCTCAAACAGTATTTTCTCCAAGTAATGTATTTCAGCCTTTTTAGCTCACTTTACTGTATTTGTACTCCTTACTCCCTCTTAAATATTTTTCATTGCAAACTTCTGAGACCAGAAGCAAGACATCATGCAGCCACATAAAGCCCGGTATTATTAAAAATGCAGGGATCTTGTGTTTACCTATTGCATCAATACTATAGATTTCAATGTAGCACAACTCAACAACGTACCCTAAATATTTACATCCAGTTTCTCATTTTATAGCCTTTACAGTGCAAACACAATTTCCCACCTCTGTTATCTACCTAATACACAGTACTGACCGAATCTTAAAATATCTTTTAAAAGTTCTTTTTTAAAAAATAAGTATGGCGAAAGCTTGTTTGGCCAGACTTCTCTTCTGGGTTATAGGAGAGCGCTTACTTTTGCTCTACTGTGACCCAGAGTCAGCTCATAGTGGGCTAAAGCTTCCTCTCAACTGATATCACAGAGCCATTCCAGACTCTGGAAGGATTCCAACCATATTGTCGGGATCCACCCAGCTGTTTGACAGCTGACTCCGGCTCTCAGCAAGCAGTGGTGATTAGCAGTCATGCGATCGCTCGGTTCTCAATGTTAGAGTTAGTGTGAGACAGCTGCAGCATTGAGGTGAGTATGTAGGTTTGCTTTTTTCTATACCTTAAACTTCTCCTTTAATGCCAATAATAAAACTTACCTTCTGAATGATGGACAGAAAAACATACCACTGAAAATCGACCTAGAAAGGACAAAGAGAAAATTACCAACATGTCTTGTGTTTGCTTTACTACTTAGTTAAAGTGCAAAAGATTTTAGATAGCAGACTGCTTTGTCATTTATTGACTAGTATGTATACACATAAGGTTTCTGTATCTATATAGATAATGTATTTAAAGCCTAGTTCAAGGTAGAAATAAAAGCACAAAAAACCAGTGAAGCAATGTATTCCTTAATAGATCATCATGTGTAATTTTTTAAATCAGCAAGTATCTGAATAGGGCTGGATATAAGCCTCCTGTAATTCCTGTACAGCAGAACTCAAACTAGGAGAAGGGAAGCAGCACAAGTAGCAGAATGTTAGAAATGAGCTCATCAGTGTGCTGCTTTTCTTTTCACTGTCCAATCACAGGCTGGAGAGGGACAAGACCTGTAATTGTTGGTTAACTGCAGCAGAGAAAAATCAGATCTCCTGCCCTGTTAGGCAGGGATGTTCAATGTGAACGAGCTGTGTATGTAACAGAATTGGACAGAAATACAAATCTTTTGGCAAGCAAAACAGCTATATGTATTTTATCAGTGTATTTAGCGGTCAACAAAATGTTTTATTTAAAATACCAAACATGTTATACTCACCTGCTCTGTTCAGTGGTATTGCACAAAACAGCCTTAATCCTCCTTTTCACGTGTCCCCCAGCCACGCTCCCCGCTCCTCCTCTTCTCACAGTGTGTCCTCATAGCAAACCGCTTGCTATGGAGACAGTGTCTGCATGCTCCCACGCTCCATACTTACACAGTGGGACTTAGCCCTGCCCCCCTGCTTCCTCCTCACTGTATTTGATTGACAGCAGCAGGAGCCAATGGCTCCTGCTGCTGCGCAAGTGCTGTGAGAAGGGAAAGAGGGGAGAGGAGATGCAGCCCATGCACAATGCTGGATCTATTCTCCACTTTCTTCCTCGACACAGTGGAAGAGGGGGCAGAGAAATAGAAAACATTATTTTCCCTTAAATTGCACTGCACAGAACCGCTTGTGAATTGCACAGGAAATGTGCAGAGTTCCTAGTATGAATGGGCACTTAAAGTCCTTCCTGTCTTGCCTGTTCGGTCTGTACCCTTGTATCTCCTGTCTCCCCCTAGGTGTTTCTAAGAATGCGATTATATACAAAATTGGGCTGTTATAGTCTAAATACACATTTGCCCTACCATAAGCCATTTTATAACATACCTGTAGAATAATGTCTTTAGCTTTTATGCATCGTTCTTATTCTCTTTTTGGCAATTTTCATACTTTCACAGTATAGTTTTTCCCTCGGTTTCCCCGTTTCTCTCAGCCATACTTTCACTCATTTGCAGTCCTCATTTGTGTGTATTTATCCATGTGGTCATCCAAACATTTTCTTATTTAGCCTTCTTTTTACTACATTCCCCTTGTATAAACTCTATAAAGATATGTATGTCCCACATCTCTCCATCATGATCTGTTGCTCAGATTTCCCAGGGACTGTTTTGCCACCATGGGTGCAGACACTGTGTATGTCCTATGCTTTAAATGCTATACCTAGTGACAATAATGCATACAGCCAAGCACGTTGACTCAATTGTGTTGACCCCTTTCTATGATTCATATAGCCGCCTATAACCCCAGAAACCTTCCTTTTCCATTTGGAGTTGCGTTGCATGCATGCTCTATGGTTGTGCATGTTTTCACTGTTGCAGGCAATACATGAATTGATCGCACTGCTTGCAAATATCAAGGCGTCTATTTATGGCCATATTTCTACAGGTAATAGTTTATTCAACAATGACCAATATCTATATGCACATTTAAAAGCAAGAAAGCGGATTACCTTCGTCAAGTTGTCCAAAATGTGCTTTCTCTCCAAAGGTTCAGAACAGCAAAACAGCACACTATATAAAATATCCACCAAGAAATCAGTCTTCTCTTTTGCATTTCTGCAGCCAGACTGTAAGTTTTTGTTGGAGAAAGAGCACAGCAGGGTTAGACTGTGATCTTAAATCCTCATTGCCCTGTTCTAGAAGTACCTGGAACACCCTGACAGAGGAAAATGCACTAAGAAGGGCTGCAAGAAACCTCATGTGTCGGCTGGATCCCTGTTCACCTATATAAACCATGCTCAGCTCTGCTAATTTGCAAACCAAATCTTGAAGGTGATATTGTCTCATAAGAGTCGAGGAGTGGGATCTATCGGTGTTCAAAGATGCCACTGACGTTTCTGGGGGCTCAGGCTTAAGAATGTCACTTTCTTCTTCATCTGTGAAACGGATTCTGGCTTTTTTCTTTTTGCTGGTCTTCAATGAGGCAGTTGAGTTCTTCAGAACTTGTAGAAGTCCAGAAACCCCTGCGAGTTCCTTTTCATCAGCTTCAATAACATCAACACGTGTCACACACACTCTTTCCAGACTTTCCCAAAAGGAAGACAACACACTGGTGTAGATTTGGGTAAGGTCCTCGCCAAACTCTGGATTCTCTACTTTTCGCTCCCATGAATGGATGGTTTCCTCTACTAGACCAAATAGTGGACTGTTATGAAGTTTCAGATCTTTAAAGGAGGCATCAATAATAGGAATGAGCTAATAAAATCAAAACAGAAAGGTTTAGATAAGGCTTGGATTTGCATTCCAAGGGCAATGTGAAAACATACTTTCCAAAATGAATCAAATAGACTGAAATGCACAGTACAGAAAGTAGGCAAATATTGGTTTGGCCTTAGTACTAGAAAGCATTGCTTATTGTACCTGTTCATTGATGAGAATCTGACGAATCTTCTTGTGTTCCTCATCCTCTCCAATGTTTTCCTGCATGATAAATCTCAGACATTCCATGTAAGCAGTTAGTATGGCGGAGCTTTCTGTAGGGCTGACCATGGCTCTTTCACTAGACAGTCTATTGGGGATGCAAAGTTATTTATTTCACAAATAACTTACTATTATTTTTCACTACACCTTTACTAAAAAGGAAACAAAAAAAAAGACCAGCACATTCCTCCAATTTGGATATAAAACAGAATCAAGACAAAAATTCACACGCATGGCACATTTACAATGCTAGGGCAAAACACTTTTAGGGCCTGTTCACAAGAGAATGCAGTACAGGAAACCCGCAGTCCTGTGCAAGTCCTGGCATCACATTCCAGTCGCACTGCCCTTGCGATCTACAGCGAGTGTCAGTGCAAAATTAAAAGGCACCTCAAAACGGAGGTCACAAATGCAGTGCATTTACCCGCACCGGATTGCATGGTACAAACATACAGTGCAATCCAGTTGTAGTGTGTTTCAAAAAGTGTATGCACTCATTTTGATGCAGTGTGATATCAGCCCATTCAAAATGACCAAGCTGAAATCACACAGCACAGAACTGCATGAGAATTGCACAGGAACTGCACAGTATTACTGTGCAATTCACAAGCCGTTCCCAAGGAGTGTTACGTTTTTCCCACTTTAGCTCTGGGCATAACAAAGCACTTCTCACAGGTGTGTTGCTTTTTTTTGATGCGGCAAACAAGATTCTTAAAAACGCAACTGAAATGCAACAGATCAGTTTGAAGAATATCAGAGGTTTTAAAGGGATGCATTTTTCTTCTGTTTTTAACTGAACAAAAACAAGATCAGGGTAAAAGTAGCCTAAGCCTCTTTTATTTACAGAGAAGAAACAGGAGGTGTGGGCAATTTATATCTAGGTAATCAACGTGTTTTTTCAGCTTTGCATAAACAATGCATGGGTTCACTTTAAATAACATCATGAATTTCAAAGAAAACCACATCCTGGAAATGAAGAAAAGGAAGATTTTTGTAATTTTTTTTTTCCTTCAAATACGAAGGTGTTAGCATATTTTGAAAAAGTGATCTAAAGCTCTTTTCCTTTTACATCTGATGGATGATCTCATTCCATGCTGTAGTTCAGTGCAAAGCACACAAGTAGCACTGGAAGGAGCATCAGATGCCTGTATAGACCCCTAAGTGACACGGTTTACAGGTAATATAAAAAAAAAAAAAAAACACTATGTATACCTATAACATAAAATTCCTAACATTTTTTTTGTAGGAACATACTTCGGCCACATGTATGTCTCCATTGGATGATGTCCTACATCCGCCAAACCATCTTGATGGAAAATGGCATGAAGCATAGCACTCAAAGTACAGGTATAAGTGCTGCTTTGTGTGGCATTATATTAATTTCTCCAGTTTCAAAAATGTCCCATGTACCGCATAGCTAAATCTAAAGGAAGATGTACCATCATACAGGAGAGCCACTGTATTTTCATGACAGGTTCTCTTTAACACAATAATTTAAAGTGACTGTAAAACTTAATTTTTTTTTTTTTTATTAAAATAACAAACATGTCATACTTACCTGCTCTGTGCAATGGTTTTGCACTGAACAGTCCTGATCCTCCTTTACTGGATGCCCCTGGTCCACTCCTCTTTAGCCAGTGCCTCCATAGGAAGCTACTTCCTATTGGGCATTCATGTGGGCTCGCTCCCAAGCTGCGCTGCCTGCTCCCTTGTCATATGATTGACAACAGTGGGAGCCAATGGCTCCCGCTGGTATCGATCTACCCTGCGAGGAGAGAAAAAGGAGAGAATTGCTGCTCTCATGTACAGCGCTGGAGCGTGATGTGGATTAGGCAAGTATATGGGAGGGTTGGAAGGATCACAAAAGAGTTTTTACTTTAATGCATAGAGCACATTAAGGTAAAAGACCTTAAGGCTTTGGAACCACTTTAAGTAGTGAAGCAATTGAGCCAAAATCCTTACTGACTGAAGGCAGTGTGATATTTTTCCCTAGGTCAATGTAGCTGTTGTGATTAACTGTAATTAGCAGAATTCCACCAATCACCACTGCCAATTCTTACAGCAGAACAAATTTGTGGTTTTCTGTAGAACAGCTGCTTTCTTGTAATGATCTACAAACGCTGTCACGTTTATGGTATGTAGAGTACAGCATTAAACAATACTATATCCAGTTGCAATAGTAAGAGGATAAAATCCATTGGGACCAATGCTCTGGATTAATCTCAGCAGCATAGGTTGTCCTGCCAAATGGAGCAATAGCATATGAATGACTGGAAATGACTGCATTTTGTCAATTAATTTGTGCGGAACGTCTGGGGGTAAACAGAATTTTAAGACATATCATAACATTTTGTAAGCAGCAGAGTTTATTCTGAACTTAACAAATGTTTATTACAACATGCTGGCATGCGTCATTGTGCACATAGAACACTGTGCCTCTGTATTCTCGCATCAATCGTAATTGGAATACTCACTGGTTAGGTATATTATTTACACACCAGAAGCACACTGTAATAGAAAAGCACCAGTGGAGACATTATTTTGTTAAAGTGGTTCTAAAGTTGAAAAGGCTCCCCCCAAAAAATTACAAGTCAGCAGCTACAAATACTGTAGCTGCTGACTTAATACAAGAGCATTTACCATGTCCAGGGATCCAACGATGTCCTCACCTGAGCCGATTCTTTAATCGGCTTTGGCTGCAAGTGTCGGCATCTTACAGTTGTGGCCAAAATTATTCAACCCCCAATGCTGTAAAGGGGTTTAGGGACTATAGTGTACATTTGGAATTGTATTCAGAATCAAATCCTACAAGGACGTTGTAACTACCCAAATGCAACTAAAATGACATCAATTGTTTATGTAATACAGTAGTAAATGGTTCTTATGTGGTTTCTTCATTGCCACAATTATTCAACCCCTTAAAGACTACCACTCTGAAGAACAGAGGTTCATACAGGTGCTTTCCATCAGGTATTGAAAACACCTGTGGATGTCACCGAGCAGCAATCAAGCATAATAAGCACCAATTAGGCAGCTTTAAAATGACTGTGATACTCAGCTCCTTCTAGACATTTACTGGTGTGGTTACAAACATGGTGAAGGCAAGAGAATGGTCCAGGAAGACAAGAGAAGAGGTGATTTCTCTTCACAGGAAGGGCAATGGCTATAAGAAGATTGCAAAGATGTTAAACATACCAAGAGACACCTTAGGAAGCATCATTCGCAAATTCAAGGCAAAGGGCACTGTTGAAACGCTACCTGGTCGTGGCAGAAAGAAGATGCTGACTTCGACTGCTGTGCGCTACCTGAAGCGTAGAGTGGAGAGAAGTCCCCGTGTGACTGCTGAGGAACTGAGAAAAGATTTGTCAGATGTGGGTACAGAAGTTTCAGCCCAGACAATAAGACGCACACTGCGTAATGAAGGCCTCCGTGCCAGAACTCCCAGGCGTACCCCCTTGCTGTCTCCAAAGAATAAGAAGAGTCGACTGCAGTATGCCAAAAGCCATGTGGACAAACCACAAAAGTTGTGGGATAGTGTTCTGTGGACTGATGAAACAAAATTAGAACTGTTTGGGCCCATGGATCAACGCTATGTTTGGAGGAGGAAGAACAAGGCCTATGATGAAAAGAACACCTTGCCTACTGTGAAGCATGGTGGAGGGTCAATCATGCTTTGGGGCTGTTTTTGCTTCTGCAGGTACAGGGAAGCTTCAGCGTGTGCAAGGTACCATGAATTCTCTTCAGTACCAGGAGATATTGGATGGAAACGTGATGCAGTCCGTCACACACCTGAGGCTTGGGAGACGTTGGACCTTTCAACAGGACAATGATCCCAAGCATACCTCCAAGTCCACTAGAGCATGGTTGCAGAGGAAAGGCTGGAACATTTTGGAGTGGCCATCGCAGTCACCAGACTTAAATCCGATTGAGAACCTCTGGTGGGACTTAAAGAAAGCAGTTGCAGTGCGCAAGCCTAAGAATGTGACTGAACTGGAGGCCTTTGCCCATGAAGAATGGGCGAAGATACCCGTAGATCGCTGCAAGACACTTGTGTCAAGCTATGCTTCACGTTTAAAAGCTGTTATAACTGTAAAAGGATGCTGTACTAAGTACTAAGATTGAATGTCACTTGGGGGTTGAATAAAACTGATAATGCTGTGAGCACAGAAAAGACATTTGTGGTTATTTC